AAAGTGAGTAGACTCCATGGGGCTGGGGTCTTGGGGTGGCAAGGGCCAGACCGATGGAGGGAAGGCCAGGGGCCCCCACCTCTGGCATCTGAGCTGGTTTCCTGCGCCAGTTCCAAGAGCGCAGAGAAGTGGAGCTCAGGGCGAAGCGGGAGGAGGAGGAACGCAAGCGGCGGGAGGAGAAGCGCCGGCAGCAGCAGCAGGAGGAGCAGAAGCGGCGGCAGGAAGAAGAAGAGCTGTTTCGGCGAAAGCAGGTGCGTGCCCAGCTGGGCCTCCCTGCCCGGCCAGGGCCAGGCCGCACCCTCTCACCGTGTCTCCCCACTCCAGGTGCGGCAGCAAGAGCTCCTGCTGAAGCTGCTGCAGCAGCAGCAGGCTGCAGCCGCCGTCCCGGCGTCCCCCGCGCCCAGCTCCCCGCCACCGCTGTGGGCTGGCCTGGCCAAGCAGGGGCTGTCCATGAAGACGCTGCTGGAGCTGCAGCTGGAGGGCGAGCGGCAGCTTCATAAGCAGCCCCCACCGCGGGAGCCATCGCGGGCCCAGGCCCCCAACCACCGTGTGGTGAGCAGGCAGGCCAGCCCTTCCCCTGCTGATCGGCTTGTCTTGAGTCCTCAGGAACCCCTTCCAATGAGTTCCCAGGGGCACCCCGGGGGTCGGGGGGAGGGATGGCTGAGACCTGACTGTCCAGCCAGAGACTAAGAGGCAGGTCTGAAGGGTCTCTGCTTCTGGGCAGCTCTCAACTGGCTGTGCTTTGCCACCTAAATGAACACCCCTCCCCGCCTGTTTTGAGTGTGCGTGTCTGGGTCACCCTGACTTCTGCCATCTGTAGCAGCTCGGGGGCCTGGGCGCTGCTCCTCTGAACCAGTGGGTGTCTGAGGCTGGGCCACTGTGGGGCGGGCCCGACAAGAGTGGGGGCAGCGGCGGTGGCCTGGGGCTCTGGGAGGACACCCTCAAGAGCAGCGGGAGCCTGGCCCGCAGCCTGGGCCTGAAGAACAGCCGGAGCAGCCCCTCTCTCAGGTGGGTGCTGGGGTCTGTTTGTGCTGCAGGGAGGGGTGGGGGGGGTGGTGTGTGTGTGTCCCCTCAGCTGATTTCCTGCCTCTGATTTGTCCCCATCCCACCCAGTGACTCGTACAGCCACCTGTCAGGCCGGCCTGTGCGCAAAAAGACGGAGGAGGAGGAGAAGCTGCTGAAGCTGCTCCAGGGCATCCCCAGGCCCCAGGACGGCTTCACCCAGTGGTGTGAGCAGATGCTGCACACATTGAGCACCACAGGCAGCCTGGACGGTATGGGCCACAGCTCCTCAGGTGGCTAGGCTGGCCTGGGGCTTCCTGACCTGCGTCAGGTGGGTCCTGACAGTCCTCCTCTCCTGCCCCTTAGTGCCCATGGCTGTAGCGATCCTCAAGGAGGTAGAATCCCCCTACGATGTCCACGATTATATCCGGTCCTGCTTGGGGGACACGCTGGAAGCCAAAGAATTTGCCAAACAGTTCCTGGAGCGGAGGGCCAAACAGAAAGCCAGTCAGCAGCGGCAGCAGGTGAGGCTCCACTGGCGTCAGGCAGGTGGGGTGAGGTCACCCCTCACTGTGCTGACCCAGCTTCTTTCTGTGAGCTTCACAGGAGGCTTGGCTGAGCGGTGGCTCCCTGCAGACAGCCTTTCAGACCAACCACAGCACCAAACTTGGCCCTGGGGAGGGCAGCAAGGCCAAGAGGCGGGCGTTGATGCTGCACTCGGATCCCAGCATCTTGGGTGAGTTTGGGGTTGTGGCCATGAAGGAGGCTCCTTGCTCAGTACGGGGCGGGGGACTGGGGAGAGCTCAAACCCAGCTTCTCCCCGGCTTCAGGGTACTCCCTGCACGGACCTTCTGGTGAGATCGAGAGCGTGGATGACTACTGACCAGCCCGTCCCACCAGCCCCTGGGCTGTAGGCCAGGGGCAGCATCAGCGGCTTGGACCCTTGGGTCCCCAGCCTGCAGGCTCCCCTTGGGAGCATAGGAGGAAGCAGGGGCAGGGTCCCCAGCACTTGTTACAAACCACACGATGCACCTTAACTCACCCACCACGAGGCACTTTACAGATTGGGGGGAAGGGTTTTTGTTTTTTTTGTTGTTGTTGTTGTTTTTTTAAAGCATTTTAAACAGCATTGAAGAAAACTGTTAGGAGAGACAAAAAAAATTGTTAAAAACTAGACTCTAAGCACCCCTTTCCCCTGTAGGGACAGTGAGGGTGACAGTGGAAGGTCCACAGAGGTCTTTTGGGTTGTTGTGTGTGTGTGTGTGTGTGTGTGTGTGTGTGTGTGTGTGTGTGTGGTTTTTTTTTTTTTTTTTTTAAAGAAAAAAGAAAATAGAAAAAAAGGTTAGGAGATTTAAAGAAAAAACACACTGTTATTTTGGGGCAGTGGGAACACAGGCCCCATGGACCTGTCCTGCCTGGCCCCCAAGGCTGCATTTACCCTCCCTGCCCTGCAAGCTGGGCCATTGGGGTAACTGGAAGCTGGGGTGCCAGCAGTTTGCACAGCGAGGCCCCCTCAGCCCCGCCGGCCGGACCCGCTGTGAACGGCTCCCTTTGTTGCTGTGACCGTGGCAGAGGTGTCCGGGGTGGGGGCCAAAGTAGCCCCTTGGCTTTGCTGCTTTAGGGGAAAGTTGCACAAATGGGCCGGGCCGCTTCAGCTCTCTAGGCTGCCATCCTGTGCTGGCTGACGGCGGGGAGAGGAGAGGGCCAGCCGGTGCCAACCTCATCTGGCTGCCAGGGTGGCAGAACTTTCGCTCTGGCCCTGGTGAGGGGCTTCCTCCACTGCTGCCATTTGTGGGGACGGCCTGGGTGTGAAGCTAAAAGCCTCAGCTCCCTGCCTTGCCACATGAATGTATTCTTTGGGCCACAAGCCCCTGCTGCGCCTTCTGCCTCAACCCTGTGCGAGGTGGGAATGGAGCAGTTTCTCCGGGAGCTGGAGAGAGAGGCACCACTTAATGACTGTTTTCTCCTGTGAAAGGGGCAAGAGGAGGGGCCTAGGAGGCCAAGGGAGTGGGCAGCATGGGGCCTCAGGTTGCAGTGTGGGGGCTGTCAGAAGGGAGTTCCCCGCCTGCAGCCAGCTGTGTGGGACGTGGACCACCCAGCCCTGCTCTGACCCCTCCATTGACCAAATGGGAGAGGGGTGTGTGGCCTCCCCCCTCCTTGCTCCCCTGATGCGTTTTTAATGTTGGGTAAGGTGCGGGGTCAAGTATAGAAGTGTCGTCTCTCCTGGGTCAGGGGTAGGCTGCCCTTCTGTTGCTCACCAACTTTTTATTCCCAATCACTTACTGGGTTTGTTTCCATTTGTGTGTGTGTTTGTTTTTTTTTTTCTTTTTTCTTTTTTTAAAGAATTTGTTGTATCTTTTGGGCTTCTCATCTGACTTCTCCCATCGACCTCATTGCTCAGAGTGCAGTATTAGGGCAGGATTCTGCCACTGCCTCCCCTCCATGAATGTATTTGTCCTTCCTGCCATGGGGAAATGGGGAGTGGCCCGTTTTCTTTCCCCATCCATCCCTAGAGAGACCACATTTTTTTTGTTTTTGGGTTTTTTTTGGGGGGGGGGGTTTGTTTTGCACCAAAGTGGCAACTGGGTCAGTGTTGGGGGATAAAGCTGGCCTCGGGGGTGGAGGGGCACCCTCCACCTGCTTCTCCCTGGTTTCAACAGTGTTAGCGTCCGTGAAAAGACAATATTCTCTCTAAAGCAATAAGGGGGTGATGGGCCAGGGGGAAATGTCTTGCTGCTGCTGGCCCCCCAGCTCCCCCCTTCCTCACGCCAGTATTTGGCGGCATTAGAGGTGTCGGGGGAGTACTGTTGTGACTGAATGTAACTGCCCCCACCCCTGCCGCAGCCAATGCAGGAGGGGGGTGACACTCTTCCCTGTTTCTTCCTTTCCCTCTCCCCCAGCTAAAGAGACTTTGAACTTAGGGGGCCCTTGAGCCTGGAGAGGCCTTAACCCTGTGAGGAAGTGTAGGGGGAGCCCTCTCCCACCCCCATCCCCTTCTGAGAGTGGTCAATGTTTACAAGCCCCTGAGCCCCCCAGCCCAGGGACTCCACCCCCATCGCTGTCCTTTCCTACCCGTCTTCCTGGGCCCCAGCTGCTCTCCCACCCTCCCTGGGTTGGGGTGGGTGCAGGGGCTGTTATGTATCCCCTTGTCTGCCTTGGACCCACAGTGTCCCCCACCTGCACCCTGTGTGACTCTCCTCTCCTTTTACCTGCCCCTGTAAATACTCCCCTTCCCCCAATAAAACTTGGTGTGTGTTCTCCCCTTCTGCTTCTGTGTCCTGTCTTGGGGAAAGGGGCATCATGATCAGCTGAGCTAGGAACTGAGCTGTGGGCTGGGGCAACTGTGGTCAGCCAGGCAGAGTCCCAGGGCTCTGTGTGTGTGGGAGCATCCACGGCCCTACTGGGCAGATGGTCCTCCTGCTTGATTTCTGCTTGGGCTGGAGAAGGAGTGGGAGTTTCTCTGGCCCCTACTTAAAAGGGACCATACCCCACCTCCCACTGGTCTGCCCTGGGGACAGATCTGCACTGAGAAAGACATGAGGGTAGAGACCAGGTACAGAGTTGGAATTGGTTCCTTTATGGAAAAACTGAAAATATAATAAAAATTAAAATAAAACCAGTTTTAAAAAAGCCAGCCCCTGGAGTTTCTACCTCCTGCCTCTGGCCCTCCAGAGGGATGAGGCCCCAACCCCAGGGCAGCAAAAGGATGAGGGCTTTCTGCCCCTCCTCTCCCCCCATTCTATCACCATCTTCATCTCCTCAGTGGGGACCCCCGGGAGGAACCAAACCTGGGTAGGGGAGCAGGGACCCAAGGCCCTGTGGCCCGGGGAGGGGGGGGGGGGGGGGGTGCCGAGGCAGCGCAGCCCTGCCCTAGGGTGACAAGTCCTTGCCGGTGTATGGGCAGGGCCCCTCCTGGCCTGGGCCCAGCAGGGTGGCAGCTATTAGTTCCAGATCTTGAGGAAGGAGTCCCAGGAGCCTGTGGCCACAGCCANAGGGGAGCAGGGACCCAAGGCCCTGTGGCCCGGGGGGGGGGGGGGGGGGGCTTGGTGTGCACCCAGCCCCAAAGCTCCCGGCCTGTAGTGTGGGCATGGGCAGGGCCCCTCCTGGCCTGGGCCCAGCAGGGTGGCAGCTATTAGTTCCAGATCTTGAGGAAGGAGTCCCAGGAGCCTGTGGCCACAGCCATGCCATCGTCAGTGACCCCGAGGCAGCTCACGCGGTTGTCGTGGCCAGCGAGGACACCTGTGTGGAAGGAACATCAGAACCCCACCGAGTTGGCAGCCCCAGCCCCAGCCTGTCCCCAGCGCACCTGCACGGTCCCCCTTCATGGCGTCCCAGATGTTGCAGTTGAAGTCGTCGTAGCCGGCGAGCAGCAGCCGGCCGCTGCGGGAGAAGGCAACAGAGGTGATGCCGCAGATGATGTTGTCGTGGGAGTACATGAGGAGCTCCTGGTCGGCCCGCAGGTCAAAGAGGCGGCACGTGGCATCATCGGAGCCCGTGGTGAAGGCGTAGCCATTGGGAAAGAACTGTAGGACAAGGGACCAGAGTGGGATGAGGGCATAACAAGGCCAGGAGCCTGGCAGAAACAGGCCGGCCCAGCTTGGTCCAGAACTTACAGCCACAGCATTGATGTCTGATTCATGGCCGATGAAGGTCTGTCGGCACATAGAATCCCGCACATCCCACAGCTTGATGGAGGCGTCACAGGCACCTGACACAAAGGTGCGGCCATCAGGGGCCAGCGACAGGGACATCACATCTCCACTGTGTCCAGCAAAACCCACCGTCTGCTGTCCTGTCTCAATGTCCCACAGGGCACTGGAGAGAGATGACAGGGAAAAGGAAGGGATCAGAGAGGGATCCCTGCCCCCCTTCCCCTCCACCAAGGGAGCCCAGCCCTGACAGAGGCTCCAAGAAAGGGGCACTGGCTGAACCACTGGGTCACAGAAAAAGGAGGCAGAATGTTCAGAAGGCCCTCACCCCCTCAGAGAGTGTACTACACGCTAAGCACTAAGGCAGGGCCCTCCCAGGCAGGAAGTATTGGTGAGCCCTAACTACCTAGCCCTGGTAGGGCCTCACCAGGTCGTGTCCCCAGAGCTGGTGATGATTTGGTTGTCATCCAGGAAGCGGCAGCACGATAGGTACCCTGGGGAAAGGGGCTGGTCAGCCGGGGCTCTAAGGGAGGGCAGCACAGCCCCTCCCCCCACAACAGCACCCGAGCCCTGCTAGGTCCCTCTCACCAGTGTGGCCAGGCAGCTCCCGGCTGACCCTGACGTTGCCCTCACGGGTCTTGAGACTGTAGATGGAGCAGATGTTGTCCAACCCCCCACAGGCCACAAAGTTCCCTGAGGGCGCATAGGCACAGGTCATGACCCAGGAGGAGCGCAGAGGGATGGCATGGACCTAGGGAGGAGGGACAGTGCCCAAGGTCAGAGCCAGCCAGGACCTGCACCCCAGGCCCCCCCAGCCTCAGGCACCACCTCTACCTTGTTGGTGGTATAGCTGTCCCAGATGATGAGCTTCCCATCCTGGGAGGCGCTGACCAGCAGCCTATTAAAAAGCAGCAGGGAAGAGGCAGAGGGGTCAGGGTAGGAATCTCCTTCCAGAGGCAGGACAGTTTTCCTCCTTCACCCATCTGGTGGGAGGTCCTGAGAGACTACTCCCAGCAGTGGCCCAGCAGTTCCTGTTCCTTCGGTCCTATTTCCCATCCCCTGGGACTGTCTGGGAGCCACAGTCTCCTCAAATATGCTCGGCAACATGAGCATCCTGTTCATCCCACCAGAACAGCAAGGTTGCAACCCTTGCCCCATTCTGCCTGCTATATTCAGCCCAGGGCAACACAAAAGCTCAGCACACAGCCCCAACCACATACATACATACACACACACACACACACACACACACACACACACACACACCACACACCTTGAATCTGTCCCCCAGTGCATGGCATAGATTTTTGCCAGGTGCCCGCGGAGGGTCCTCCGCGTCCTCATCTGGATTCTCCCCACTGGGTCCAGCCCAGCTGTGATCTGGAGATAGAATCAGAATGGGCTCAGGGAGGCTCACGTGGTGTGGCCTACCAAGCACTATGCCTCTAACCCCTGCTCCTTCCCTAAACCCCACTCAAGCCCTGGATTCATCTCACCTGGGTCAGTGTTGAATCCCCACATGCTTTTCGGGCATCCTGTAAGAGATGGATGGCAGAGCCATCAGAGACAGGAGAGGACGAGACAGGGAAAGAGGTGACAGGAGTGGAAAGAAGGAGCCAGCGAGATACTAGGGTAGAGACAGACAGACAGACAGACAGGAGTGGAAAGAAGGAGCCAGCGAGATACTAGGGTAGAGACAGACAGACAGACACACACACACACACACACACCTCCCTCCCCCCCCCCCCCCCCAGTACATGCAGGCCACCTGGCTCTGCCTGCTCAGCCTCCCCAGCCCAGCAGCCAGGCCCTCACCCGGATCTGGTTCCGGAGCTGCTCAGCCTCCTGTCTCAGTTGCTCCAGCTCACTCATGGCGCCGGGCCCGTGGGGCGGGGTTGGGGGCGGCTGGGGGCCGCGGGACGGGGGCTGGGGGAGACAGCTCCTCACCGCTGGCCCGAGGCCTGGGGGATGCAGGGCTGACGTCAGGCCCAAGGCCGCCGGGGAAGAAGGGGGAAAAAGGCGGGGTTGAAGCCTGGCCCGGAAGGGGTAAGCGCCTGTCGGAGGGGGGAGGGGACAGCAGCGGCGGCCGCGGTCCCCCCAGGCGGAATTGGGGTCTCTGGCACAGAAGGGATGCTGCCCAGGAAGAGCTGACTTCCCCAATCTTCCTCCCGCCCCCCGGAAGCGGAGCGGGAAATGCAAGAGGAAGCGCAGGGGAAACCCCTCCCTCGGACAGCAGCCCGGGCGGGACACCCGCGGCAGGAACTGAAGGGGGGGATGGGGGGCGGGGAGAGTCCCTTCGAAAACAGACCTGGCGTCCGCCCGGGCCCGCACAGACACCGCCCTCCTAGCACCTAATTTTTAAAGGGGAGGTGCCTCTTTAAATTCACCCCCACACGCCGCACACCCTCCACACACACCCCCAGCTTTGACTGGGGTGGGGGAGACCAGAGGGGGAAGCTGGGCTGTTCGTGGGGTTGCCTAGGCAACCGTCACCCGGACTGAGAGCACCTCATTGGTGAAGTGCCCCCACCCTAGCCCTGTTGCCAAGGCAACCGCATCCTCGGCAGAGACCTGTAGGGTGGGTGACCCCACCCCCGGCCCCATCGCCCCCGCCCGACCCAGCCTCCCTCCCCGACCCAGAACAGACCAAGGTGTCTGTTTACAGGATTTGGGAAAGCCGATTGGCGCTAATAGGTTCGGGACGGCTCACCCCGGATAATCCCCAGGCCGGCTGCGCCCCATTAGCCACCCCCGGCGGGCGGAGGCGAAGGTGGCGGGGAAAGCAACCCCTAATCGCTGCTCCCTCCAGCGCCAAGGCCGCCCGCCCCGGCGCGCCCGCAGAAAGCCCGTGGGAGCCGCTCTCGAGTAATTAGTGCTCCGAGGAGAGGTCCCCGGCCCCGAGGCGCAGAGCTGCTCTCTCCCAGGCGCCGGCTGGCGGGAGGGCTGGCGGCCCCAAGTGGCCCGGCCCCCTGCCCTCGGCACCCCAGGAGCCCAGCTCCCGGGCTCCGCGCCGGGGCCCCAGGGGCCTGGCTGGCTCCGCTCCAGGGCCCGGAGTCCTGCCACACTCCTTAGACACCTGTGTGATCTGGCCATGCACACTGCACTCTGCCAACCCAGGCGTCCCCCACCCAGCTCCCACTTCCCCCAGGCCCTGGGCGTTCCTCTTTCCCCCCTGACATTTCCCCTCTGTCAGTTCAGCTTTCTACGCTAGCGCCAGGGGATGCCCCTCCAAAAAAGCGGGGGGATGGGGTGGGCAGAGTCTCCCACTCCACTTCCCCAGATCAGGACAAAGCCCCTTCCTTCCAGCCGCCAGCAGCCTAGGCCGGGCGGCAACGCCAGAGTCCGGGGGCAGAAGGAAGCAGGCCAGGAGGAAGCCGCTGGGGGCGGGGGAGACGCTCCCAGCCCTCAGTCCCCATCACTCGCCGGGGGCCCCTCGGCGGCCCGCGGACTCTCGGCATACAGCAGCCGGGGCCCCAAGGAGAAATGGGGGTGCCACCGCCTCCGCGGGTCCGGCGGGGCGAAGGGGAGGGGACATGGGAGGGTCCCGGATCTGGCAGCTGGAAGCGCTGCGAAGCGCAGTGGGCCTGGCCCTTCGGCCCCCACGACCTCCATTTTGCCCAAAAGAAAGCTAGGCGTGGGGTAAGGGCGCCCAGGAGCTGAGCTTGAGGTTAGGGCTAGTAGAGGGAGCAGGGTGCCGAGGTCTCCCGTCTAGGGTAATGTGGCCAGAAAACACCGACAGAACCCAAGGGTTCTGAGGGTAGGGTGGAGGCGAAGGGAAGGGTGGCCTCGCGGCCTTGCCTGCCTCTCTTGAGGATTCTGGAGTTTTGCAAGGCGAAGGCCGCCAGGGGTGCAAAGAGGGCACGAGGGGGTGCCTAGGGGCAAACGAGAGGGTGGCGGTGGGGGGGAGGGGGCGGGACGGGGGCCTAGAGGAAGCCCGGAATTTGGCCCCCAAACTTCTCAGGGAGCAAGAGGAAGGAGGGGCTGCGAAGGGGTCTGGGGTCAGGCAAAATGCCTCGGACAGTGCAGGACACCCGTGCGTTACCGGGGACGAGGGTCCCCCCACCCAGTTCCCCTTCCGGGTTTGGGAGCGACGGAGCCAGAGGAAGGGAGGGGAGGTCTGGGGTGCTACGTCCACTCCCAAGAGGGCAGACCGGGGAGACAGAAGGAAGAGAGATTCCCCCACGGGAATTCGGGGCTGGGGGAGAGAAGGACTCCTTTTGTCAGCGGAGGTACCTGTGGCGGTGGGACTCTGCGAGGGGTCGCTAGAGCAGCACGGAAGGTCCTGTCTTCCTCCGCGGCGGAGGCGGCAGCGGCGGCGACGCGGATGGATTTCCTCAGTCACCCCAACTCAACCGTCCAGCGCTGCTCTCCCCAGAGCGGAGGGATCCCGCCCGCCAGTGACGCGGCCGCCGCCGCCGCGCCCAGGGCCCGGCTGGGCGAAACCAACTCCTTAGTGGGGGGAGGCCAGAAGGCAAAAGGCCACTTTAAGGGACAAGGACAGAGTCCGTCACAACAAACATACCACATCATATTATTTCGACGCAAAACAGACCAAAAGAATGCTTCGTTTTTCAAAAAGGAGCAGGATATCCCCCCTGGGACTGCCAGAGGTGGTACCGGCAGAGGGAGGGGGAAAACGCTCGCGGGTCACGTGACCCACCCTCCCGGATTGGGCGGCTCCAGACTGGGAAGGGTAGTTTGACGACCCAGTTCTGGGTTCGGCACGCCCCTGCTCAGTGAGACCACGCCCCTCCAAGGGCCGGGACAGAGCACCAGAGTTCCCGACCCGTGCTGGACGGGGCAGTTGGCATTGCGGTGGCAGAGGGACACTTCCGGAAGTCTTCGAAGAATGGTGCGGGACCCTGAACCTGGGAATGATGAGAAAACCCATGCTAAGGAAGTTCCCCAACGTTGCCCACCGGGCTTTTCTAGAACTCTACCGGGCTGCGTGACACTTTTTATAGTAATGGAAACAGATTCCTAGGGCTGCAGAGTTATGAACCAGGGCAGCTATAGCGACTTAACTACAACGATAAGCAACACTAACCTCTTGAGGAACGCTCCAGTGGACCATCCCTGTAAAGGAATGAGAATGAAAGTGTTGCCTGCTGCTGCCTGACCTGCAATTCACGTTGGATTGTTACCAGAGTCTGACGGATTGTGGACAGTCTTTGGAAGGTTTAAGTCAATGAATAGCCTTCACTGAGTCCTCATCCAATTGAAAAGTGACAGTGTCAAAACAAACACTTCTTAAAGGCATTACAAAAGGTTTTCAAAGCACAATATTTTTACAAAAATAAAAAAACGAAGTCACATTCTTAGTCATGCACAAATCCCATTTATGTCCCTTCACCAATTCAACGATATATTAGCAGTAGATGATAGGTGTTACTTAGGTAGTAGAATTTGGAAGGCACCTTACATATAATTGACTTCAATTTCCTCTCAGTCTACAGATGGACAAAGTGACTTCCCCAAAGTCACTTAGAAAACTGGTAGCCCAGGGGTCCCTGGGTGGCTCAGTCGGTTAAGCGTCTGACTTTGGCTCAGGTCATGATCTCACGGTTCGTGGGTTTAAGCCCGCCGTCAGGCTCTGTGCTGACAGCTAGCTTGGAGCCTGGAGCCTGCTTCAGATTCTGTGTCTCCCTCTCTCTCTGACCCTTCCCCTGCTCACGCTGAATAAATAAATAAAACTGAAAGGAAGGAAGGAAGGAAGGAAGGAAGGAAGGAAGGAAGGAAGGAAGGAAGGAAGAAAGAAAGAAAGAAAGAAAGAAAGAAAGAAAGAAAGAAAGAAAGAAAGAAGGAAAAGAAAGAAAGAAAGAGAAAACTGGTAACCCAGATGCACCTTGGTGGCTCAGTCAGTTGAGCATCCGAGTTCAGCTCAGGTCATGATCTCATGGTTCATGAGTTCAGGCCCCACATCAGATTCACTCCTGTCAGCACAGAGCCCACTTCAGATCCTCTGTCTCTGTCTCTGTCTCTCTTTCTCTCTGGCACTTCCCCACTTGTGCTTTCTCAAAAATAGATATAACATAGAAAGAGAGAAAGGAAAAAAACTGGCAGCCTAGGACTAGACCCCAATTTTACTAATCTCTGTAAGACATCTGACACTGCTTCCTCTCGCTTTGGTCTCCATGCTAATATGCTTCTTTGTTGTAACTCATTTAGCAAATATTCACCTAAGCCCTAATGATCCATCAGGCACCGTCCTGGGTACTGAGGATATGACCATAAACATGTGAACCCTCCTCTGCCTGCAGGGAGGTTACAATCTATAGAGGGAGGCAGTGGTAGAGAATCATTGGAATGACAATCAGTGCTGGTAGCTTGGAAGTGCATTTACTAAGAGCAGAACACTTGGAGGGGAAGATGAAAAATTTTAAGTTGGGACATGTTAGGTTTGCAGTGCCTAGGAGAGGTGCAAAGAAGAATGCTCAGAAGGTGGTTGTCAAAGCAGGTCTAGGGCTTCACGGAAGAGTATGAGTTAGAATAGAGCCTTAAGAATGAGTGGTGTTTCAAATAAACTCAAAATGGATAAAGGACCTGAATGTCAGAAGGAAACCATCAACACCCTAGAGGAGAAAGCAGGAAACAACCTCCTTGATCTCAACTGCAGCAATTTCTTACTTGACACATCCTCAAAGGCAAGGGAATCAAGAACAAAAATGAACTATTGGGATCTCATGAAGATTAAAAGCCTCTGCATGGCAAAGGAAACAATCCATAAAACTAATAGGCAACCGACGGAATGGGAAAAGATAGTTGCCAATGACATATCAGATAAAGGGCTAGTATCCAAAATCTATAAGGAACTCACCAAACTCCACACCCCAAAAACAAACAATCCAGTGAAGAAATGGGCAGAAGATATGAACAGACACTTCTTCAAAGAAGACATCCAGATGGCCAACAGACACATGAAATACAAATCAAAAACCACACTGAGATACAACCTCACGCCAGTCAGAGTGGCTAAAATGAGCAAATCACAGGACTCTAGATGCTGGCGAGGATGTGGAGAAACGGGCACCCTCCTACACTGTTGGTGGGAATGTAAACTGGTGCAGCTCCTCTGGAAAACAATGTGGAGATTCCTCAAAAAATTTAACAGTAGAACTCCCTTATGACTCAGCAATAACACTGCTAGGAATTTACCCAAGGGATACAGGAGTGCTGATACATAGAGGCACATGGACCCCAATGTTCATAGCAGCACTCTCAACAATAGCCAAAACATGGAAAGAGCCTAAGTGTCCATCAACGGATAAATGGATCAAAAGATGTGGCTTATCTATATGATAGAATACTACATGGCAATGAGAAAGAATGAAATCTGGCCATGTGTAGCAACATGGATGGACCTTGAGGGTGTTATGCTGAACGAAATAAGTCAGGCAGAGAAGGACAAATACCATATGTTTGCATGTATAGGAGGGATAGGAGGAACTTAATGGAGGACCATGGGGGAGAAGAAGGGGAAAAATAATGGGGTAGAGGGAGGGAGGCAAACCACAAGAGACTCTTGAATGCTGAGAACAAACTGAGGGCAGATGGGGTGGCGGGGAGAGGAAGGGGGTGATGGGCATAGAGGAGGGCACTTGTGGGGATGAGCACTGGGTGTTATATGGAAACCAACTTGACAATAAACTATTAAAAATATATATATATGGAGGAAGCGTTACCATATGATCCAGTAATTCTATTTCTTATTATGTACTCAAAAGAATTCAAAGTAGGATATGTAAAAAGTATCTGTACACACAAGTTCATAGCAGCCATTACTCACAATAGCTAAAAAAAAAAAAAAAAAAAAAAAAAAAAAAAAAAAAAAAAAAAGAATGAGTGGTGTTTTAGAGCAGATGAAGTCATAAAGAGGTTCAGGGAAAAGATGAGATGGCCTAAAACCAAGCCCTGAGGAACTCCAACATTAGAGGTCAGGCAGAGGAGAAGAAGCTGCCAAAGAAGAAGCCAGAGAACTAACAGGAAAATCAGGAGAATGTGGAGTTCTGGAACCCAATAGAAAAGAATGTTCCAAAAAGGGAATGGTAAAACTACATTGAATACTGAAGAGAGATGAGGCAAGACTGCACTGGGAGGTGTGCATGAGATTGAGAAATGGCAGGCCACGGGTGACTTTGTCAAGGGCCTTTGCAATGAATGCTTTTCTTGCAATGGGTTGAGGGTGAGAAATGAGACAGTGGAGACAGCCATAGTGGCCAAAGCCCTGGGAATCTTGGCTCGGAGGGAGTGTAGAACAGTGGGGCAGTGGTGAGAGGAGATTTGAAATCAAGGTATTTGGATTTTGGTGGGAGGTTCTTTAGATGATAATGGGAAGGATGGGGCTTGGGGGAGGAGAAGGATATAGCAGGTAGCCAGTGGATGACCAACTTCTCTGAGAAAGCAGAAGCCCTAGATCACATGTGGAGACCCTGACTCTCAGGGGTCATGGGACACTTCCTCCTTCTTCTGACTCTTCTTTCTCAGGCTTCTCCTTGGTCCTCTCCTCCTCCTCCTTAGGGCATCTGTAAACATAGTTTGTCCTAAGATCCCAGCTTCAGCCTCCTTTTCTCACTGGTGACTTCCTCCATTACTGTGACTTTAACTATCCCCTAATTGCTCATACCTCTCAAATCTCCATCTCCAGCCCAGATATCTCTCCCCAGATGTAGACTTGGTGTATGTCCAACTGCAGCCTGAATATCATCATCTGGATGCTCACAGACAGTGGTGTGCTGGAGTCAGCTTGTGCCAGTTCAGACTAGCTCACAAGAGCCCAGAGTGCACCTCTCTTCCCAGCTCCTTGTTTAGCAAGTCATGTTGATAGTAGTAACTTTTAACTGTCATGGTGGGAGTGGTTACACCATGGAAATTGGTAATAGCTTCAGATCAGAGCTGTTCTTGCCCGGAAGGGCTGATTGTTAAAACATTTACTACACACCACTGATCACAAACATGTCCCATTCAACATATTCAAAACTAAATTAATCCTTTCTACCCCACCCCACGCTGCCCAACCCTGCCCTTTCTCTGAATCTCTTGGCCCAGTTAACAGCATCACCATCCCCTCAGGAGCTTCTCACTCCCTCATTCCCCATAGCCAAAGGTGGTCAAATTACTGTATAGCCAAGCTGCTATATAACAAAGAATCCCAAAAATTCAATAGCTTAAGGGACAAACTTTAAAACAGATCCTCCAGGGGCACTGCAGTGGCTCAGTCGGTTAAGTGTCTGACTTCAGCTCAGGTCATGATCTTATGGCTCATGGGTTTGAGCCCTGTGTTGGGCTCTGTGCTGACAGCTAGCTCAGAGCCTGGAGGCTGTTTTGGATTCTGTGTCTCCCCCTCTCTCTGACCCTCCCCTGCTCATGCTATCTCTCTCTCTCAGAAATAAATTTTTTTAAATTTTTATTTATTTCTAGGAGAGAGAGAGAGAGAGAGAGACAGCGTGAGCAGGGGAGGGTCAGAGAGAGGGAGATACAGACTCTGAAATAGGCTCCAGGCTCTGAGCTGGCTGTCAGCACAGAGCCCGACACGGGGCTCGAACCCACGAACCGTGAGATCATGACCTAAGTGAAAGTCGGACGCTTAACTGACTAAGCCACCCAGGCGCCCCTCAGAAATAAATTTTTAAAAACATTTAAAAAAACAAAACAAAACAGATTCTCCAGGACTGTAGGGGCATCTCCTAGCAGCTTCCACAATCAGACCTGAATTTCATCAGGAAGGGGGATAAGGTGGAAAGAACTTGTGCTTGTCCTGTTTAAGGACAACACTAACTTCTGCACAGAGGTTGGCCAGTTGCAAGGAAGGCTGGGAAATTTAGTCTTTCATCATGTCTGCAGCTAAAATATTATTAATAAAGAAAGAAGATGGTTAGCAATCTATGTCACTGGTGGATACATCTTGTCAATGCTACCTCTTGTATATTGCTTAAATCCATCCCTTCTATTGTATGGCAAATGCCATTACCCTGGCTCTTGGCTATATCCTGTCCTCTAGGACAGTTCCTCTCTATTCATCTACCAAATAGCTGCCAGACATATCTTTCTAAAATGCAAATTAGATCATATAACTTTGCTGGTCAAAACCATGCAGTAGTCCCCTATCAGTTCCACGAGAAGGCCCAGACTTCTTTGCATGACACACAGGGCTAGGTCTTGTCCCCTCTCAGAATGCCTTTCACCCCATCTTCAATTCTACTTCCTTGTCAGCTGGGGAAATCTAGTTTATTTTCTCAGGCTTATTTTGAATCTTGCCTCTCTGACCACACTGTTGTCTGTGCCCCACTGCAATGCTGGCTCCATTCTTATTGCAGCCTTTACTGGACTGTTTATTTCTGGGCACTTGCCACCTGCACTAGGCAGGGGCTCCCTGTGAAGCCAAGACACTTGATTTATCTGGCAGAGGACTGGGGGAGAGCTCACCAAACAAGGAACAGACCCTCACTAGATGCCAAATCATGTCCAAGGTATGGGGTCTGAGGGTGCTGGCCCTACTACTTTTGACATCATTACCAGGTGTTTGGCCGACCTGACTGTGGGCCTAGAATGTGTGAACCTCCAGATGACTTTGTTGAATTCATTATTTAACCCTCCATCTCCCAGGATAGATATTAAACCCTAGGAGACTCATATCAAGTTAATATGAACCATTTTATTCCTGGTGTCTATAACACCTCGAGAACATCTGTGAAATTAATAGGATAGCAACATTTTCCCCAGGATCAATACTTCTCACATGTCACAGTTCAAATCTCAGCTCTGTCATTTACCAGCTTGGGCAAGTCAATTCATCTCTCCATGCCTGTTTTTCCTACAAAATGGGGATAATAATCAGGTCATTATGAGGACTAACTTACTTAACATCTGTAAAGCACTTAATAACAGTTGTTTTAAAACACTTAAAACAGATGTTTTGTGTTTGCTAAATAAAGATAGAGTTTAGGCATGAACGAGTTGGTCTTTTACTACTTTTCCAGTCTTATTTCTCTCTAACTCTGTTCTCTGCCAGCAGCTCATATGCAACCGTCCTTCAAGACTGAGCTCCTAACTCCACATAGGTCACAAATGTTCATGTCTCTAGAACTTCTCACATGCCAGTCTCTGTGTGGAAGACCTTTCCCACTTTGTTCACCAGTGAACCCCTATTCATCCTTCACAATTCAGCTCAAACTTCACTTCTAGGAGCCTCCCTGAACTCTCAGAGATAGGCAGCTGCTCCCGCCTCTGGGTCCCCATCTCACCCTACTTACATGCATGTCTGAGCTCCCCACTACATCAAAACTCTAGAGCAATGATATAGCTTATGCATTTCAGTATTCCCATGCCTTGCACAAAGATGTTGGTTGAATCAATGAATAGACAGTGAAATATAGTAATAACCTTTTACCTTAACCACTTACATAATACAATACAATCATAATACAATATAATGACAAATGAAAATTGGCCACAGTTGACTGGGAGGTAAATCAAGTCCAGATGTGTAATCAGCTAGCTATAGTTTTTCTACCAACTATGAGAGGAAAATTCATTTCTCATTACAATACTACAGATTTCCAACTTAGGAATAATGAGCTTTACTAAACTTCAAAAACTCCCCAAGAACATTCTTAGGATCTGTGTTTACTGACTAGTCCTGTGTGCCCAGCTCTTAGCCAGGCACTTGATTCTGGCACCAGATTGAGTCCTTACCATCAGCAGTCCTATAGATGGGGACAGTGAAGCTTGAACCAGGATACAGAAGTGTTATGAAATAAGGTCATCTATCAACTGGCTGATATGAGATGTGAGTTCTAGTCCTGGCTCTGCCCCAGTGGGCTCTGTGAAGCAAGACAGGGTCCTGCCTCCATCTGTGGAAACCCCTGTAAAATCCAGAGGCTGGATCTAAGATTAGTAAGGTTTCTCCTGACTTGAGGCAGTCTCTGAATCTGAGATCCCAAAGGAGGTGGGGGGGGGAGGGGAGGTGATGGGAACTGACAAGGTGAATTTACAGGGGAAGTGAGGCTACATCATTAAATGTCAACAAAAGGAGGGGTGCAGACCATGAATCGAATCACTTTCTGTTCCAGGGACCCTGTAATCCTCATGTCACCAATAATAACATTAACAATAACAATAATAATTTTGTAAGATGAAGCATGCAGGCGCTAAGAGATCAAGGGGGCTCATCCAATTCACCTAGGTCTCAATTTATAGAGGCCAATGATAACTCACTCAGGAATATTTCAATTTCCCAGCACTGAGTTAGCTCTCTCACCTATGGCTCACCTCTTGCATTTAGGCCTGGATGTCTCCAGTCTGAAAAATTAGGCTCCCAACTGACCTTGGGCATGTGAAGTGCCCCTGTTGTCTGTAGGTAATCAATGAACCACCTTAAACCATCTATCCTTTGGCTGGGGACAGGTAGAGTCTCTTCCAGAGTGGGCATCTGGTGAGCAGAGAAACTTCAGGGGCTTTGGCTGTCACACAACGCCCTCTTCCTGTGCCATCCATGGTCTTAATGCTTTCCCCCACCCCCCAGCAAGTAGGTGGAAGTGCCTTTAGCACACATGTATTCACATGCACATATGCACACACATCCCCACACGCTAAGCACATACATACAGGCAGACATCTACACACATACTCACATAAGTCAGGCTGTAGGAGCAGTCCTAAGCCAGGCTGTAGGAGCAGCTCCCTCACCTTTGTTTTTAAAACTGTTGTGGAGGTGGTGTCAGGCCAGAACAGCTGGGGAGAGATAGATGGGGAAAGGAAGCTAAAGATGGGTTAGCTGAGCACCCATGTGTGAACAAGGTACACATGTGTATGTATAGGGCCCAGGTGCCTGGGAGAGGAAAAGAGAGGCCATTAGAAAGACAAGGGTGGGAAGGAAACGGAAGAAGATGGAGACACACCCCCTCCTGTACCTCTTTCCTTCTTCCTTTCCCTCCTTCACTAGGCGATTTCATTCAGACTTGGCTATAGCAGAACCTTGCTCAGCAGCTTGATAATGGACGACTCTCCAGTACTAGGGCACCCACTCCTCGACCCCATTTTATTTTATTTTTTAAAAATGTTTTAATGTTTTTTATTTATTTCTGAGAGACAGAGAGAGAGAGAGAGAGAGAGAGAGAGGCAGCATGAACAGGGGAGGGTTAGAGAGAGAGGGAGGTACAGAATCTGAAACAGGCTCCAGGCTCTGAGCTAGCTGTCAGCACAGAGCCCGATGCGGGGCTCAAACCCACGAACCATGGGATCATGACCTGAGCCCAAGCTGGACGCTTAACGGACTGAACCACCCAGGTGCCCCCCTGGAACCCATTTTAAAAGGTAAGGAAGCAGGGGCCCCATCAGTCATCCTGGGGCATCCTGATCTCCAGATGGAAAAGGTTTCCATCTCTTTGGTATGCCAGCTCTCTACCTGGCTATCCCTTAGGGTCAGTCACAAAAGTCTTTGGTATCCACCCACAATCTTAAAGTTTTGGTGTCTGCCCCTTTAAAGCAGCGGCCCTCGGTCAGGTTATTGTCTCTCCTTTCAGCCAATCCGCGTCGTCGTTGGGGGCGGGGGATCAGGCCTCCTGATTGGCCACTGCGCGCCCCGCCCCGCCCGGGATCCCGGGAGCTGTCCGGCTACCTCGGTGCTGATCCCGCCGCCGCCCACGGGCCGTGAGCAGCGCTGAGAGGACATTATGAGCGGGGGCGTCTACGGCGGAGGTGAGCTAGCCTGGGGCTTCAGGCTCCCTAGCCTGTCGCGGCCTCGCCTGCAGCCCTGCACCCCGAACGCGCGCGACCTAAGCTCTGGGCATCCCAAGGCCTGTCACCTCGGCACTGGAATGGGTCCAGCCCTGGGTTTGGGTCCTGCGCCACTCCTACCTTTGGTCCTCCCAGGTCAGTCGCTCGCGCGCACTGGGCTCACTCTTTCCACCATTCAACTCACCTCCTCCCGGCCGTCCCGGCCCTCCCGGCCCCTTCTTTCCCGGCGAGGAGAGTGGCCTGAATAAGGCCACTGGGCAAGAAGGGATTCTGGAGGTTTGATCCCCACTCCCAGCACCCGGACTCCAGGCCGAGCTCCCACCTAGCCCGGCCAGCGGCCAGCGTTGAAGGTGGCGAGACTGTGGCTCTGTCCTGACCTCCTCTCAGAGCTATCCAGGGAGAGAGAGTTTGGGAGAGGCCCCTCACACACCTGTCTCCCCGCACAGATGAGGTGGGGGCGCTGGTCTTTGACATTGGCTCCTTCTCAGTCCGCGCTGGGTACGCTGGGGAGGACTGCCCCAAGGTGAGCCTTCCAGCCCCATTCCCAAGTCCTAGGGACTCCGGACTCCCCTCCAGACTTCCCAGTGACCCAGGGTTCTCACAACACAGAGAGAAGCTCTGCAGAGCGGGAATGTGGGAGTAAACCCAGGGGCGGGCTGAGGGCCTTGCCATGGGCCTGAACAGGAGCAAGAGGTTGATCCCTCTTCCTGCCCATGCCCCCCTCCAGGCTGACTTCCCCACCACGGTGGGGCTGCTGGCCGCGGAGGAGGGGGGCGGGCTGGAGTTGGAGGGGGAGAAAGAGAAGAAAGGGAAGATCTTCCACATCGACACCAACGCCCTGCATGTGCCTCGGGATGGAGCGGAGGTCATGTCACCCCTCAAGAATGGCATGAGTAAGGATCCCCCACCCCCTGTCTCCCAACACAGACCCGAAGCCCACATACCACAACCGGGGGCACATCACCCCACACCCACAGAGTCTACCTTGCAGCTTCCCACAGCTGCCTGGTTTCCAGCCCAGGAGGCCAGCAGATTCTTAGGAAGGGGGGATTTCTGCTGAAACTGATCTCACTTCTCATCCCCTGGACTTGGCTTCCCTCCTTCCTTTGCCTCCTGTCCCTGGACCCCTTACTGGCCCACCCTCATCTCTCCCTGCTGGTCTCCTGGCCCCAGTTGAGGACTGGGAGTGCTTCCGTGCCATCCTGGATCACACCTACAGTAAACACGTCAAGTCTGAGCCAAACCTGCACCCAGTACTCATGTCTGAGGCCCCGGTAAGTGCCTCATCCTGCCCCTAGTCCAGCCCTAGGGAATCCCTACATCCTTTCTGCCATTCGTGTCTCCCACCCCTCCCCAAACCATCTATCACTCCACTTAACTTTTCATACTGTGCTTCCGACTCCACCATCACCATCTTCAAAAGCACTTTCTTTCCTCCCTGGTTTAGTCTCCATCCCCCTCTCTTTTCCTGTTCTATCCACTCCTTTGCTCATTCAGCCTATCCCTGCTGTTTCCACCACCAAAGTCCTTGTTTGACTTTTTAACTTAAAATGTTTTTGTCTATGTTATATATGCACATTATCAATGTCCTTTATGAAACATGTTAAGGAAAAAATTGCCTTCATATCACCTTCCTTTCATTCCCCTTTTCCAGAGACAACTGCTTTTATTTTAGCCATTTTTTGGTCACATTCTTCCATATCTCTAATATCACATTCAAAATGCTGCTTGCAGATTTTTTAGTTTTAGGCATTGATTTCCCACCACAGAAACTAAACATTGAGGTCTCTTTCCTCCTCCAGACCACACCACACACCTTAATATAAATACAGTTGTATTTTAGATTTTTAAAAATCATTATTCCAGGGCACCTGGGTGGCTCAGTCGGTTAAGTGTCCGACTTCGGGTCAGGTCATGATCTCATGGTTCATGGGTTTGAGCCCTGCATCGGGCTCTGTGCTGACAGCTAGCTCAGAGCCTGGAGGCTGTTTCAGATTCTGTGTCTCCCTCTCTCTCTGACCCTCCACTACTCACACACACACTCTCTCTCTCTCTCTCTCAGAAATAAATAAAACATTTAAAAAAATAAATCTACTTAAAAAAATAAAAATCATTATTCAGTATTTACACTCTTGTTTATATATGCTAATCAGGTCTGAGCTGAGCAATAAACTTTGATCACTTTTCCTTTCCTTGCACAGCTGTTTTCCCTAAAGCTAAAAATTGTGCTGGTTTTTATTTGACTTAGTTTTCTATATACTTAATAATAAGACCCTAAATTATTAATCTGCTTATTACTCATCTGCTTATGTTACTATATCCTTTCTCAAAACATTAATTTCTTTAGGTATTCTATCAATTTTTATCTTCCTCAAGAAATATCTCCAAAAACCCAGTGGTTGGCTCCACTTTGGATTTGTTGCCTTCTACATAGAGAACATAGCTATCATCCTGACACCCCCCTTCACCATCATCTTAGTCCTGTTTCTTGTATCTCATCACTCCTTTTCTTAATTTACTCCCTTATTTTCCCTGGAGCATATCCTCCAGTAACTGCCTTAGAAAAGTCACGAGAAGTAAAAATTGTAAGACCTTGCATGTCTGACCTTGGATTGATAGCTTAGCTAGGTATAACATTCCAGATTGGAAATAATTTTTCTTCAGAATCTTGAAGGTACTTCTACATTGTCTTCCAGCATCTACTGTTGCCATCAAGAAGGTACAGGTGGGGTGCCTAGGTGGCTCAGTTGGTTAACCAGTTAACTGTCCGACTTCGGCTCAGGTCATGATCTCACGGTTAATAGATTCAAGCTCCTCATCAGGCTCTATACTGAAAGCTCAGAGCCTGGAGCCTGCAGCCTGCTTCAGATTCTGTGTCTCCCACTCTCTCTGCCCCTCCCCCACTTGCGCTCTGTCTCTCAAAAAAATAAACATTAAAAAAATAAAAATAAAGAAGGCAGAGATGTCTAATTCCTGGTCTTTTGATGTAATGCCTTCTTTTGTGAAAGTTTATAGAATTTTCACTTTGTTCTTAGTGTTCTATAATTTGTCAATATTATATTGGTTTATTTTCATCCATTGCTCTAGATACTCATTATGTCTCTTCAATCTGAAAACCTATGTCTTTCAATTCAGTGAAAAAATAGTTCAATAATTATTCAATTAAGTAATTTTAGTTACTTATTTGATGACTGATTTATTTCTATATTCTGTTCTTTCTTTAGGAAAATATTTGGATTTTGCACCTCCTGACTTCATCCTCTAATTTTCTTACCTTTTTTCTTATGTTTTTCTCCCTTTCATCTTTCCCTCTAATTTATTTTTTAACTTTTTTTAAAATTTATTTTTGAGACAGAGAGACAGAGCACAAGTTAGGGAGGGGCAGAGAGAGAGAGGGAGATACAGAATCCGAAGCTGATGCCAGGCTCTGAGAAGTCAGCACAGAGCCCAATGCAGGCTCGAGCCCACAAACTGCAATATCTTGACTGAGCCAAAGTCAGATGCTTAACCAACTAAGCCACCTCTCCCTCTAACTTCCAAGAGGAAATTTCCCTCAACTTTACTTTTCTACCCTTCTATTGAGTTTTTCATTTCTGCTCCTGTATTTTTACTTTTCAAAAGAGTTTTTTTGTTCCATGAATGTTACTTTTTAGGACATCCAATTATTTCTTCATAGGTGAAATATGTTACCTCACTCAAGATATCATTAGTTTTGTTTCTGTTTTTGGAAGTTTTCGTTTCCCTGCATAATCTCTGTTCTTCCAAATTGCTTTTTTTCTCTGCCCTTTATTTTTATTTATTTATATTTATTTTTGAGAGAGAGAGATTGCATGAGTTGCGGGCAAGAGCAAGGGAGGGGAAAAGAGAGAGGGAGACAGAGAAACCCAACAAGGGCCTCCAACCCTCGAACCATGAGATCATGTCCTGAGCCAAAACCAAGAGTCAGACACTTAACTGACTGAGCCACCCAGCTGCCCCCTCCTCACCCTCTTTCCGGGGGATTTCTGCCTCATTTCAGAGGCTTTTCTCAGATTTCTGCAAATCCTTGGTTGTCTGCTTATGTTCGCAAGTGGTGGGCTAAAATACTGACTGGAAGCTGTGAGGGGTGGGGGACTCATTGACTGTGGTGATTGAGGATGTTGCTATAGGATGACTTGCCAGGGACATTTGTTAGGCAGCCTCTGATAATTGGCATCTATAGATTTCTGCTATAACCCATGGGGAAAGCTTGTACCCTACAGACAGGCCTGGCCACCCCCTATCTGGGAGTGAGGGAAAAGGGCTGAGGTCTTCAGCATTTAATATGCATGGAATCACTTAATACTCCTGTCTTAAGTATAGGGTCTTCACTCCCAACTGTGTCAAGTGTCCCATCAGTCCAGAGAACCTCAGTTTTACTCTGTCTAGAGAATAAACTTCCAGTCTTCTGCAGAGGCTAGGATGAGTAATAAATAGCTCAGTGACATGAGTGAAAGTGGGGAGAGAGTTTAGGGAGCTATTACCTGAATGACTTTAAACACAATCTTTTTCTCCTTCCTTCCTTCCTTCCTTCCTTCCCTGAATGACTTTAAACACAATCTTTTTCTCCTTCCTTCCTTCCTTCCTTCCTTCCTTCCTTCCTTCCTTCCTTCCTTCCTTCCTTTCAACTGGGGAGAGAGTTTAGGGAGCTATTACCTGAATGGCTTTAAACACAATCTTTTTCTCTTTCTTTCTTTCTTTCTTTCTTTCTTTCTTTCTTTCTTTCTTTCTTTCTTTCTTTTCTTTTCCTCTTTTCTTTTCTCTCTCTCCCTCTCTCTTTCTTTCTTTTAAGCTTTCCCTTAACCTTAACTGCCAAAGATACCTGAAACTACAAATTCTTGAACACTATGAGAAGTCTGCAGTTTGACACAGCCCATTCCTGGCTTTTTCCGTTACCTGCTTAAGAGTCAGTGTTCTTGACTCATTACCACTCAATTATCTGATTTTCACTCTTCAAAAATGTGTTACTGTTTCCTCCTTCCTTATTATTCCCAACCCTTGAGGGTGTCTGTCTCAAGATTCTCCCTCTGTCTCTTTTTTGAGCTAAAATTCACATAACATAAAATTAACTTTCTAATGTTAACAGTTTGGTGGCATTTAATACATTCACAAGTTGTGTAGCCATCATCTCTATCTAGTTCCCCAACATTTTCATCACCCCACAAGAAAGTCCACTTTCATTAACTGGTTTCTTCCTACTCTCCCTGCCCTTGGTAACCATCAGTCTGCTTTCATCTCTTTGATTAGATCTATTCCAGATCTTTCTTGTAATTGGAACCATACAGCATGTGACTTCTTGTGTCTATATTCTTTCACTTAGTATAATATTTTCAAGATTCATCCATGTCATAGCATATGTCAGTACTTTATTCTATATCATGGTGGAGTAATATTTCATTGTATGGATATACCACAATTTGTTTTTTCAATTTCTCCATTCATGGACTTTTGGGGACTTTCCATCTGTGGCTATTGTGGATAGTACTGCTATGAACAGTTGTGTATATGGATTTATGTGAGTACCTGTTTTAGGTCTTGGATATATAACTAGGAGTGGAATTGCTGGGTCATATGGTAATTTTATGTTTATCTTTTTGAGAAACTACTGATTGCTCCCCACAGTGGCTGAACCATTTTATTTTCCCACTAGCAATGTACAAGGGTTTCAGTTTCTCTATACCTTTATTTCCCCCTTGATTATTATCAACACACTACTGGGTATGAAGTAGTATCTTTTTGATACCACTTTTGTGCTTTTGATTTGCATTTCCCTAATGGCTAACAATGTTGAGCATCTTCTCATGTGCTGGTTGGCTTTTGTGGGTTTATGTCCTTTTTTTTTTTTTTCTTAAGGAATCTCTATGCCCAGTGTGAGGCTTGAACTCATGACTCCAAGATTAAGAGTTGCATGCTCTACTGACTGAGCCAGCCAGGTGCCATGGGTTTATGTCTTTTTAAATTGCCCCTTTATTATATTTATGCTGGGATCTTGGAAGAGAATAAAACTAGATATTTGTATTTAATCCACAATTTTTACCCAGAAATCCTCATCCCAGCTTTTGCCTCTGAGATGGTTAAAATGGGAAATAAAGATAAATTGGAGGCTGAAAGAAGCCTGAAGTATATATTGTACAAGAAAAAAACACTGAGGGGTGCCTGGGTAATTCAGTCTATTAAGCATCCAACTCTTGATTTCAGCTCAGGTCTTGATCTCAGGGTCATGAGTGTGGAGCCTACATGAATGAATGAATGAATGAATACACAAATAAGTAAACAAACAAACAAACAAATAAATAAAATAAAGAACACTGGGCCAGAAGTCAAGAGACTATGACTCTACCAAGCTCTATCCAGAGCTTTTTGTGTGATCTTGGGCAAGTCACTCTCTCTCTGAGTTTTGTTTTCTTCAGCTGAGTTTGGAATGTGATCTTTAAGATTCTTCATAGTTCTAAAAAAAATTCTTAATAGTTCTCACATTCTAAAGGTCTATGTGGGTCAAGAGCCCTGAACTCTGTCCCCAGCCCAAGTTGGCGGGGGCGGGCAGGGAGCATACATGGGTCTGTGCCTCTCCCTTTTTGAATCCTCCCCTCCTGTTCTTTCTCCCCAGTGGAACACACGGGCCAAGCGGGAGAAGCTGACAGAGCTGATGTTCGAGCAGTACAACATTCCTGCCTTCTTCTTATGCAAGACGGCTGTGCTCACCGCGTATCCTCTGGGCTGAGCTGCTATGGCTGGGTGGAGGGTCAGGGTGGGGTTCATGGTATGCTAAACTGGAGGCTGGACCTGACTCTGTGGAGATCAGTGTCCTGGATGGGCAGACGCCCACCCTTCACCCCATTAGTGCAGAGGGTCCCCTGTGACCTAAGTACCTTTGACCCTGGGGTGGCCAGATCAGTGGCTCTTTCCTATTCCTTGGATCAAGCTGAACAGAGAGACAGACAAACAGACACAGTTGGGCCAAGCAGACAGCAGAGGCTGGGACTGGAGAGAACAGGGAGGGATATAACAGTGAGGAGCTTCCTCCCCAGATAGCCAATCATCATTTTTTTTTTTTTTAAGGATCTGCCTTGCATTGACTCCTGTGCTACGCACTGGAGCAATATGGCCCCTCATTTCAAGGAGCCAATAGAACACTGAACCAAGACTCAAGTGAGACTGGGAGCTCAGAAGGAAGAAAAATAGGAAGAAGTTGTGATTCAGACAGGGAAGAAGTGACAGGGGTCTCAGGGGCCTTCCTCCACTGATGGGTCATAAGTTAGAATGAGAGATTTGCAGATTGTGAATGGGCTGAACCAGGAGAGCAGAGGGTGACCAGGCCAGACCTGAGTCCCAGCCCCCACACTTGCTGCCGCTGTGTCTTTGACTTACCCATCCCATGCTAGCTTTGCAAATGGACGTTCCACGGGTCTGGTGCTGGACAGTGGGGCCACCCACACCACGGCCATCCCAGTGCATGACGGCTACGTCCTACAGCAAGGTGGGGCCTCGGCAGGGCTCAGGGGTGTCTTGGGGGACCAGACCCTGATGCCTCCTCCCTTTCCAGGCATTGTCAAGTCACCTCTGGCAGGAGACTTCATCTCCATGCAGTGCCGGGAGCTCTTCCAGGAAATGGCCATTGACATCATCCCACCTTACATGATTGCAGCCAAGGTGGGATCTCTGGGGAGTCTTGGGCACTTACCCTAGGACTGCTGACCCACTGACCCACCTGATATCAGAGAGGGGTGCAGCAGGGCCCCCAGAGGACATTGGGTCAAGCTCCTCAAGTTATAATCAAGGCATCAGAGATTCAGGAATGCTGAAGGATGTGGCCAAGGTCATACAGCCAGCTGGGAGTAGGATGTAGGAGGGTCAGTGTGGTAGATCGGAAGATTCAGGTTCAAGGTGTGCCTCTGCCATGTAAGAGCTGTGTGACCCTACAGCAGGAGATTGAAGCTTCTCGAACCTTAGTCTCTTCCCCTGCAAAGTGGATTAACACTATATAGGGCTACTGTGTTAAGTGAGACACTGCATGCAAGGGTCCATCCTGGACCCCCACAAGGAACATGGCTCAGGAAAAAGCCCCTTAAGGTTCTGATCTCCTACTATATTTCCCATGTCCTCAGCTTCCTCTGACTGGGGACTTTCAGATCAGCTGTACCTGCTGCATGAGTGGCAGACATGGGAACAGGCTCTCCTTGTTCTCTCTCTTCTGCTGCCTTTTCTGGGCAACAGAGGAAAGAACCCAATGCCTAGTCGGTGCAGGAGCACAGGTGTGGTCAGGTGGGCTGGGCAGGTGTGGCGTGCGGAAGGGCGCTCACAGGCTTTGTGCCCGCAGGAACCTGTACGGGAAGGTGCCCCTCCAAATTGGAAGAAGAAGGAGAAGCTACCCCAGGTTTCCAAGTCCTGGCATAACTACATGTGCAATGTAAGGAGAGAGTCCCCCCGAAATAGCCCCGGCCCCTTCCCAGCTCCTAGTCCCCTGCCATGAGTAGAGGGGGAGGGACAGAGAGGCCCTGCAGGTTGGGGGGCTTGGGGGTGCTGAGGAGGGATACCAGGCCCTCACCACCTACCTGGGTCCTCAGGAGGTGATCCAGGACTTCCAGGCCTCTGTGCTACAGGTCTCAGACTCTCCCTACGATGAGCAGTGAGTGGCGTTCCCCGCTGGAGGGTGGGAAAGAAGACAGGGCTGGGACTCTTGGGGGACCTCTGGTCCTTTGTGAGCACCCCCAGCCAGAGTCTCTCTCTTTCCTGGGCAGGGTGGCTGCACAAATGCCCACAGTGCACTATGAGATGCCCAATGGCTACAACACAGACTATGGTGCTGAGAGGCTCCGCATCCCTGAGGGCCTGTTTGATCCCTCCAATGTCAAGGTTGGGCTGGGTGGAGGGTACTGGGTGGGGGTGCTGATTGGATTCCCTGGATGTGGGCATGTAGGGGAGGCTGGGAAGGACTGCTGGGGTCTGGGGAGAGGGGGCCAAGGCTCGAAACCTAGATCACCTTTCTCGGCAGGGCCTGTCGGGGAACACCATGCTAGGTGTGGGCCACGTGGTGACCACCAGCATTGGCATGTGTGACATCGACATTCGCCCGGTGAGGCCCAAGCCTGTGTCTGGGCAAAGGGGCCCAGGAGCAGTAGGGAGACGGGGAGGGGCTGTTCCCTGAAGGTTCACTCCTTTCTGCTCTCAGGGTTTGTATGGCAGTGTCATTGTCACCGGCGGAAACACACTGCTCCAGGGCTTCACTGACAGGCTCAATCGAGAGCTTTCCCAGAAGACCCCACCGGTAGGAGCCTACCTCGGCCAGGGCCCTGGACTCCAGTCCTGGCTTGGCTCTTTAGGACCTAGTCCTTCCTCTTTCCCCAACATCAAGTGTTCTGGCCACCAGAGCAGACATCCCCCCTGTGGCTTCCTAGTCTTCCCCACTTCCAGTCCTGTCCCTTCCCAGAACCCAGGTGTCTGCTTCCCCCAGCACCTCTTTCCCCCCAGAGCATGCGACTGAAGCTCATCGCCAGCAACAGCACCATGGAGCGCAAGTTCAGCCCCTGGATTGGGGGCTCCATCTTGGCCTCACTGGTGAGAGGGAAGGGGCTTGGCCTAGCACTGACTGTGGGAAAGGGGCAGATCCAGACAGCTCCATCCCCTTGCCTGCCTTCTCATTCATTCATTCAACAAACATTTATTTTTGAGAAAGAGCAGTCAGTGAACGCTCCATCAGGACAAATCAGGGAGCAGAAAGACAGGAAGCTGGAGAGATTGGTTGGGGTTGAGATTGTGGGTGGGGCACCCACTATTCTTAGCAAAAGGGAGACACAGAGGTTTGGGGCAAGGAAGCAATGCAACAGTCACAGGCATGTTTGGGAAGACTGTGTCAGGCATGAAGCTCTGGAGATCAGGATGTGAGCTGGACATGAGGGGACCCTGCAGAGTTTCCTTCTTATGGTACTGGAGTCACAGAGCAAGTAGCAGTGAGGATACGGTGGTGAGCAAGAGGCAGCTGGAGAAGGAGACAGGCAGGCTGTTTCTGGGGCAGGAGGTGGCGAGTTCTGTCTGGACCTGTCGCTGGGCACAGGCAAGACAGGGAGCTGGAGATGCAAACTTCGTCTCATGGGCGTCAGCCACATAGAGGGGACAGCAGGGCCACGACAGAGCAAGAAGGACATCCCCAAGAAGGGCAGCCCTCAAGTAGAGAGAAACAAGGGTCAGAAATACAGGAGGCTGATAGTGTGAGGTCAGCTGAGGGCCAGGAACATGTCAGCCATATCTACCTGTGTGCCTGGCTTAGTCCCTGCCCCCATGAGAAGGTACAGTCCAGAGGCTGAGGCCATTAAACAGCAAGTCACCACAAAGTACAGGGATGTCACTTCCAGGGAAGACCGGATCTAGTTCAAAGGTCATGAAGGGACTCAGAGGAGCGTTGAAGTTGAGATGAAAGACTGAGTAAGAACTCCTGAGGCAAAGAGAGAGAGGGTGCTAGGGCCGTAGGTGCTAGGGCCATAGGGAGAGGTGGGTGAGACCAAAGGTAATGGGCAGATGCAGTCATACCCAAGTTTAGGAAGCTCACTAGGGCAGCAGAGTGGAGAGTGGCTTCAGCAGGGCTGCTGTGGTCTCCGCTGTGAGTGGGGTTTGACAGAGGAGTGGGTATCAGGCTGTGGAAGTGGCAGCTCATCACAGGTACAACTGACAGCTGTGGGCAGCATTCAGATACAAGAGGGAAGAGAGAGGGAGTCCAGGACAAGGCCCGGGATGCTAGTTCTGGGCAGCCATATCCAACAGGAATGTAATGTGAGCCACATATACCACTTTAAAATTTCTAAATAGCCATATTTTAAAAGAATCTGAAGAATCAGGTGAAATTAAGTTTAAACTATATACTTTGGGGCGCCTGGGTGGCTAAGTTGGCTGAGCTTCTGACTCTTGATTTAGGCTCAGGTCATGATCCTGGGGTCGTGGGATCAAGCCCTGAGTTGGGCTCCATGCTGCGCATAGAGCTTGCTTATGATTCTCCCTCACTCTGTCTCTCTCTCCCTCTGCCCCTCTCCCCCACTTGCACATGCTCTCTCTCTCTCAAATTAAAAGCAAAAGAAGATTATACTTACTTTGGGGCTCCTGGCTGGCTCAGTCAAAGGAATATGTGACTCTTGGTCTTGGAGTTATGATTCTGACCCTCACGTTGGGTACAGAGATTACTTAAAAACAGCAAGGCACCTCTACTTAAAAGAAAAAATATATATATATTTTTAAAAATTCAATCCAATATATCCAAAATATTATAATTTCAAGGTGTGATAAATATTTTTTAAATTTTATTTATTTATTTTGAGAGAGAGAGTGCACACCTGCAGGAAGGGCAGAGAAAGAGTGAGAGAGCATCCCAAGAAGCCTCCACATTGTTAGCTTAGAGCCTGATGTGGGACTCATGAACTGTGAGATCATGACGTGAGCCTAAATCAGGAATTGGACACTTAACCAACTGAGCCACCTAGGAATCCCTAATGAGTGATCAATATAAAAAATGAGATATTTTACATTTTCTTTCTGTTTTCTGTTGTGTATTTTACAACTGTAGAGCACAGCTCAGTTCAGACTAGCCACATTTCATGTACTCAACATCCACAAGTGCTCAAGAGCCACTATATTGGACAGCACTAGTATAGAAGGTGAGAAAGACCAGGGGCACCTGGGTGGCTCCATGGGTTACATGTCCCACTGGCTCAGGTCATGATCTCACAGCTCTGAGTTCGAGCCCCACGTAGGGCTCTGGCGTAGGGCTCGGTGCTGACAGCTCATAGCCTGGAGCCTACTTTGGATTCTGTGTCTCCCTCTCTCTCTGCCCCTTCCCCACTCGTGCCCTGTCTGCCTCTGTCTCAAAAATAAACATTAAAAATTAAAAAGAAGAAGAAGAAGAAGAAGAAGAAGAAGAAGAAGAAGAAGAAGAAGAAGAAGAAGAGAGACCACAGAAGCAGGTTTGGGCCAGGCCTGGCGGAACTCAGTCTTGGACCATCTAAGTTTGAAGTCCCAAGGAACTCAGAAAGAGGTGTCCAAAAGACAGCTGAGTATCTGGCTCTAGTACTCAGCGCTGAGCGTTGGAAACTGGAGATTGGGGGAAGGGGTGGGGTTTTAGTGAGTGAGCAGAAGTTTCAGGACTAGAGGAGCTGGTTCTGGAAGGCTTGTTCTGTGGGTCCAGGAAACAGGGACAGTACCAGGGACACAGGCACTAGCTTTTAGGCAGAGGTGAAGCAACCATCTAAGAGAAGGGACAGTCTGGGATGCCCAGTGCAGGAGACTGGTCCAGCTTGGGTGGTGAAGACAACTCCTGCCAGAAGTTAGGTGGTGCAGGAAGGGTGAGGGTGTTGGAAAGATTGTTCTTGGGAATGCAGGAGACTTGACAAGTTTGTAAGGTCTGATGGAGTGAAAGGTGCAGGAGGAATGTGGGGGTGTGGGCATTGGGGGAGAGGTTGGCTGGCCTGAGGTTGTAAGCTCCACTACCCAGCTCGAGGACAGCACGTGGCCCAGGCCAGACAGGTGCGCAATAAATACTTGTTGAATGAATGAATCAATGTTCTGATTGAACGACATGAGAGGGGGTATTCACCCTCTGAATATGAAGGAGGGCAGGGAGGCTTGGGAAAGTGGATGAGGAAGGCATGTGGGCGTGAGAGGCGGGGCTCGGAGGGTAGAGGGAGGTTTCCCATGGGCTGGGCCTGCAGGTGGAATGTGGGGTGGCGCGTCCCCTCCTCCCTCCAGGGCCGACTTGAAGGCCTCTGTCTCCCCCCCCCCCCCCGTCCCCAGGGCACTTTCCAGCAGATGTGGATCTCCAAGCAGGAATATGAGGAGGGAGGGAAGCAGTGCGTGGAGCGGAAGTGCCCCTGAGGGCGTCCCCTCAACACCCACTCTCCCGCCCGCAGCTGTGGGATAGGGGACGCGAAAAGGCGCGGAGAGGGTTTCCCCGCTGGGCCTCCGCAAGCGCACAACGAAGCCCCCACCCCCATGCCCTCGCCTCTTCCCCTCCCTTCTCGTCTGCTTAGATTGTGATGTTTCTGGATTGAAAGGAGTAAAAATGTTTTAAGAAAAAAAAAGTTTGGTCTCCTTGCGGGTGGGGGTGGGGGCGGGCAAAGGCCTGGGAGGAAGCGAGTGGAGGAAGGCCCACACCTACTAGGTCCCTTGGTGATCCCGCGGTGGACGCCGGGGCAAAGCCTGGGGGCGGGGGCAGACCTCCGGGAGCCGCAGAAGCCTCGGGTTTCAAGGGGGACCCAGGGAGGATCACGCAGCGAGGATCCAGCAGTCTCTCAATAGGCCCCCTGAGAAGCGCCGAGCTGGGGCTGGAAGGGGGTGCTGGAGACTGGGCTTGGCGGCAGGGGTGGGGCGGAGTGGAGGGCCAGCCTGGGGGCGGGCTGGGGCGGGCCCTTGGTGGGCGGGGCTTTGGGCATTCAGGTGGGAGGCGGTGCCTAAGTCCTAGCGGGCCTGCTGCTCAGGTGAGCCGAGCCGCGCGGCGTCTTCCTTCTCCGGGCTCTTGTCGGTGGCAAGAATGGGGCGGCGACTGGGGCCCTGGTGCGCCCCAGCAGCTCTGAGCTTCTCTCCCAATTTGGGTAGGAGCTGAGGTTTCCCAAAGGAGACCCCCGTCACGAGGCCCCTGAGACCTTCTATTCCAGAGCTACTTGTCTTGGGATCCTCAGTAGGGCTTGAGGACCTGCACCCGCTGCGTGAAATTGTGGATAAAAGTTAGCAGTTTGTGCCCGTCATGTGTTCCTGGGGTGCCAAGACCCCAAAGAGGTAGAAGTCAAGTCCTCCAGTCACCAAAGAGACGCAGGTGCCCAGAGAGGGCCATGACTTGTTGAAGATCACCCACCTCTGCCCAGGCCTCGACTAGGACACCTTCCACCAATGCCTGGTGGGCCTTAACCCGCAGATCCAGGAGAAACCCAACATGGAGCACTCACTGGTCCTTCCTGACCATATGCTCCCACCCATCCCCCTCTCTCCCCATAAGTTACCAGGAGCCTGAGACCCACTTTTCATCCTGATTCCAATGAGACCGGCATCCACATGGCCAAACCAACCCCCAGGTCACACCACTTAGGCAATTTCAGCTTAGGATCACCCCAGCCAAGCCTAATGTGTTAGGGGCCTGGCTAGGCACTCACTGGTGGGGCTGCAAGCCAGATGACTTCGGAGGGGGTGAGGTTTTCATGGTAGGGAGCTTAGGAAGGGGTCCCCAAGGACACTGGGAGGGGTGGAAGCAGGAAAGGGAATCCTTATCTTTGCCCTCCCCAGTCATCGGTCCCCTTCCCCCACCCCTGACGGGAACTAGGAGGCCAAAGTCTGCCCCAAGGTCAAAAAATTGATTGTTTTGCAGGAAGGGGGCAGAAGTGGGACTGTGGAGGGATTGGAAGGGGAGGGCACAGCCCCTTGTCCTCTGGCCTGGGCCGGGGGTTCATATCTGGAAGGCTGGACTGAGGCCAGGACTGTGCCCCCACCCTTTGTGGGGGGGGGGCAAGAACGGCCTGGGCTCAGGCTGCCTGCCAGGGCTGATAAGGGGCCCTCTTGGGGCTCCCATAAACGGTTTATCACTGTTGGGGGAACAGCCAGCAAGGCTCAGGAGGGGGCGCGAGCATGGAGCGGCTTTGGGGTCTACTTCACAGAACGGTAAGACCAAGGGGATTGGGGGACACTTTAGGCCTTCTCTACAGGTCCTTCAGCCCCCTCCCACACCCCAAGGCTGGCCCCTCCCCTCCGCACCTCCTCCATGTCTCCCCTCCAGCTTGCCTCTCAGGACCCTTTCCCCTGCCTTGCCCTCTTCTGGCACCCCATAGTCACTGACTGTTATTGCCAGCTCCTGCCCCATCCCCCATGCCTCTTCCCCAATCTCATGCCCACCATGCCCCACACAGCAAAGGTTGTCCCCACGACCCTCTCAGACCATCTACAAGCGCGTGGAGGGCACCCAGCAGTGGCACCTGGAGGAGGAAGAAGAAGACGGGGAGGAGGGGGCTGAGCCACCCATCCAATTCTGCCCCATGGAGCTGAGGGGCCCTGACCTGGGCTCCAGAGCTGGAAAGCAGAACCTTGGATTCTGGGCAGCAACAGGACGAAGGGCTGCCCCCTACCTGGTCCTGACAGCCCTGCTGATCTTCACTGGGGGTGAGTGTCATCCCCTCTGCATCAGTGAAGGGCCTGGGTTAGGGGTAGATTTCCGGAGTCAAGAGTGGGGCACAAAGGGCATCTCCATCTTCCCATCCCCCAGCTTTCCTTCTGGGCTATGTGGCCTTCCGAGGGTCTTGCCAGGCATGCGGGGATGATGTGTTGGTGGTCAGCGAGGACATAAACTATGAGCCGGGCCCAGACTCCCACCAGGGCACCTTGTACTGGAGCGACCTCCAGGCCATGTTCCTGAAGTTCCTGGGGGAGGGGCGCCTGGAGGACATAATCAGGTAAGGATCAGCCTTGCTGGAACTCAGCCTCCCTCCCTCTTTGCCCAGGACTCTGGTGTGAGGCCCCTTTTTCCACTTGCCTCCCTGGCCTCCCTGTTCAGTGGTCCTGGGAAGGATGTCAAGAGCTGGGGGTGGGGTGGGGTGAGGGGAGTTCCAGAGAAAGGGTTGCAGAGGGCTCTGGCTCTGAGGGTAGCACTCTTGGGAGATGCGGGAGCTAACTGTCTGAGTGAGAGCAAGAGGGCCCAGTATCCAAACAGGAGGTGAGACAGACCCAGAAAAGTCCGGAATGCCACATTGCAGGGCTTAGATTTTGACCTGTGGCTGCGGGGAGCTCTGGGGGGTCTCAGAAGGGACATTTTAAGGAATCTGCAAAAATGAGCAAGCAAATGCATTTGTGAGCATAGACCAAACCCTTTCTGTCTAATTTGTGAGAGATGCCATGGAGACACAGATCATGCAGGCCTAAAGCTCAGCCAGAACAAGCAGACCAGTGTTTCTCTTGTTTTGCTGAGGTTACTTTCCCTATTAGGAAGGAACTGCCCAGGTAGGTTCAGAGGTCAAGCAGCCAATGGCTCTCTCTTTGGTCAGGAATAGGGTTTCAGTGGATACGCCTGGCTTTTCCAAGTAGAAAGTCTTATAAGCTATAGCTAGTGAGAGATGTGTACCCTCTCTTTCTTTCTTTCTTTCTTTCTTTCTTTCTTTCTTTCTTTCTTTCTTTCTTTCTTTCTTTTAAAAAATATTTTTATTTATTTCTAGGAGAGAGAGAGACAGCGTAGCAGGGGAGGGTCAGAGAGAGAGGGAGTCACAGACTGAAACAGGCTCCAGGCTCTGAGCTGGCAGTCAGCACAGAGCCCGACGCGGGGCTCGAACCCACGAACTGTGAGATCATGACCTAAGAGAAAGTTGGACGCTTAACCGACTAAGCCACCCAGGCGCCCCGTGTAGCCTCTTTCTCAATGCTTATACCTTTTATGTCTTTTTCATTGCTTATTGCATGAGAGAGGATGTGAACTTAGGTAATGATGACAGGAGATATGTCTATTTCCAGACTTTCTTTTCTTTTCTTTTTTAATATTTTTATTTATTTCTAGGAGAGAGACAGACAGACAGCGTGAGCAGGGGAGGGTCAGAGAGAGAGGGAGACACAGACTCTGAAATAGGCTCTAGGCTCTGAGCTGGCAGTCAGCACAGAGCCCAACGCGGGGCTCGAACCCACGAACCGCGAGATCATGGCCTAAGTGAAAGTCGGACGCTTAACCGACTAAGCCACCCAGGCGCCCCTTTTTATTTTCTTTTTTAATGTTTTATTTATTTCTGAGAGAGAGATAGAGTGAGCAGGGGAGGGTCAGAGAGAGAGGGAGACACAGAATCTGAAAAAGCCTCCAAGCTCTGAGCTGGCTGTCAGCACAGAGCCCGATGTGGGGCTCGAACCCACAAACCAGGAGATCATGACTGGGGCCAAAGTCGGATGCTTAACTGACTGAGCCACCCAGGTGCCCCTAGTTCCTGACTTTCATAGGAATGTTTTTATACTACTTTGTTATTGAGTATAAACTTTGCTGTAGACTCCAGATAGCTTTTTATTTATTTTTAACTATTTATTTTGAGAGAAAAAGAGAGAGAGCAGGGGAGGGGCAGAGAGAGAGAGAGAGAAAGAGAGGGAAAGAATCCCAAGCAGGCTCTGGGCTGTCAGCACAGAGCTGGACTAGGGACTCAATCCCAAGAACAGTGAGATCACGACCTGAGCCGAAATCAAGAGTTGGGTGGGCATCTAAACCAACTGAGCCACCCAGGCACCCCAGGGTTTCTTATTTTCTTGAGCATCACTCGGTCCTCTGGGTACAGGCTGAACAGGTGGATAGTTTGCCAGGTCTCAGGGTGAGGTGTGGCACTGTGGATGCCATCAGAGGGCAGGGAGGCAAGAGGGTGGCAGTGAGGGGGAGTGAGCGATGAAGTAATGTGACTCCAGGGTGGATGGAGAAGGAAGGGAAAGCTGCAGAGAGGCTTGGAGGGCTTGGACAGTCTGGAGTGCTCAATGTGGGTGAAGAGCAAGTATAGTGAGGGTCAGGGAGCAAGCTGGAACCTGGAAAGCTCTAGTCAGAGAGTGGGATACTGGAACTTCTAACATTTATCTGACAAATAGTCTCCTATTTATCTTGACATCTCCAGCACTTCGCACAGTGCCTGGCATTCAGTTGGTGTTTAAATCCCCAGCGGATAAATATTCTGGAGATGGAATTCTGGGTAATGACAAGAGCAGTGTGGGTGTGGCCAGGGAAGTGAATGGCTGGACTGCCAGTGACACTGATCAGGTCATTCATTCATTTGCCCACCAAATATTTTTGAGCACCTACCATGTGGCAGGTGCTAGGCTAAGTAAGTAGGGGTGACAGAGCAGAGAACAAAAGTCTGGAGCTTACAGTCTATTGGGAGAAATCAATATGGAACTAATAATCACATTCCTGACTATGTATTTGTTACTAGAATCATTGTAATGACTATAACCAGGGGGATCTGACTTAGATTGGGGGTCAGGGAAGGCTTCCTTGAAGAAGTGATGGGCTAAAGCCTGAGGGGTGAGTTGTTCATCAGGCAAAGATAAGGTTGTAAAGCATTTCAGGTCAGAGAACAGCAGGTGCAAAGGGCCTGGGGTAGGTATGGTGGCCTCCTGGAGGAAGTGAACTATGGTCTATGTGGCTGTCTGAATGAATGCAGAGGGGGCCAGTATCCAGACAGGAGGCAGGACAAACCCAGAAAAGTCTTGAATGCCACATCACAGGACTTAGATTTTGACCTGTGGTGGTAGGGAGCTGCGGTGTCAAGATGGATATGGCTCAGGTCATAAAAGGCCTTAATGGCCACCCAAACTGCTTTAGATTTTATATTAAGAGGAAAGAGAGAGAAATAAAGAATTTGAAACAATAGAGTATTGTAATCAGATGTAGAGGGAATTTGTTTTGTTTTTAAGGTTGGTGCAAAGAATGGCGTTATGATACTCCTGGGGCAGCAGCTCAGTGTTCTCAGCAAAGGCTGTTCTTGTTTGATTTCCCTCCCTAACCCTGAGCACTCCTTCCTCATTCCCTCACCCAGAAGCAGCTCATCTGATGTGTTTGATGTGTGCCTTTAAATACACACATGGCTTTGTCATATATGGAATGTTTCACATGCATATATAGAATTTTCAAAACATTTATTTTTTTCAAAACATTTAATGTTTGCATACAATCCTCTATGTTCATTATTTTTTTAAAGCTAAGCCATGTGGAAAAATATAAAGAGGAAAGTAAAAAAAAAAAAAAAAATCACTCCAAGACCCACTACTCAGATACAGCTCTCTCTAATGTGTTTTTTTTTAACATATAGTTTATTGTCAAATTAGTTTCCACATAACACCCAGTGCTCATCCCCACAAGTGTCCTCCTCCATGCCCATCCCCCCTCCCCCCCACATCCATCAGTCCTCAGTTTTTGTCAGCATTCAAGAGTCTCTCATGGTTTGCCTCTCTCCCTTTCCCCCACCATTTCCCCCCTTCTTCTCCCCCTTGTTCCTCAGGTAAGTTCCTCCTAATCCTCCTATACGTGCAAATCTCTAATGTGTTTTTAATTTTGATAAACTTTTCTTTTAACTTAACACCGTATTTTCAAGGTCTCTATATTGCAGTGTGTACATCTAATTTATGGTTATGCACAGGAATCCACAGTGTGCATCATCTATTTTTACAAACAACACACTGATGGATACAATTTCAAAACTTGAGTTCCTGGATGGGACTGGGGGAGCAGTGGGGGAAGGAATGGTACTGACAAAGCCACCTCAACTGTGGAGTGCAGTGGTCCTCGTGAGAGCTGAGAGGGTGGAGGCTGAGACTAAGGTGACCCTGCATGTGGATTTTGAAGTAGTGCAGAAACTTTGTGGAGTTTCTTAGTGGAGAGGAAAATGATATGCCAGATGCCAAAGTCCTTGATGAAACCGGTCAAGTGACCCATTAGCTGAAAGAGGGACAGAGAGTGGGAGAGCTGGATGGTCTAGGCTTCAAAGGAAGAGACCTTTACCAGAGGAGTAATGGCCAGAAATCGCAACAGTGGAGCCAGGGAGCCTCTGCTCCAAGCACAGGTGGTATGAGAACCAGAGACCCATAGGAGACCTGGCCTCTCCAGGGACAGCTGGGTTTCCGCTAAGGCAAAAGGTAAAGGGTATTCAGTGATGATGCTGAGGAGGGAGGAGTCTGTCCACTTTGGAGAGGGCGCATGTGAAGCAGGTTGGCCTGAAGCTCAGGCCACAACAGTCTCACTAGTTAGGTGGTGACTATGGAAGAAGACAGGGTGAGGTCTCCAAGACAAGGGACCCCACTGTTACACCAGGAACCACAATGTAAGATGTCTCCGTGAGACTCAGGTGGAGGGTGGGGTAGATGGAGGGCCCCCTCTGCCCAGTTAAGCCCCCTGGAAGAAAAGCGTTTTTCATAGGTGAGGTAAAGCCCAGGATATGCGCATGTGTGGAGGGGCAGTAGATTGGTGAGTTTGGCCTGAGCCAGTAACAACCTAAGACATGGTGGACAAGATAGCAAGCCATCAGAAGCTAAGGAGGAAGGAGGCTTTACAGACACTCGGTGGCAGCCCGGGGGAAGGGGGGGGTGGTGTGATGGGATGGATGATAATGGCAGAGTCAGGGAGAGACTTAGGAGGCCTCACTGCCCAGGCCCCCAGGCGACCCCACGTCTCTGGCATCAGTCCCTCCTCCCTCCCTCCCCTCCAGGCCTCCAGAAGTCCCTTAACTCCTCTTCCACGCCCCAATCTCACCTCTTCCCGCTCAGGCAAACCAGCCTTCGGAAAAGGGTGGCTGGCTCGGCCAGCATGGCGGCCCTGGCCCAGGACATCCGCGTGGCGCTTTTGAGCCAAAAGCTGGACCACGTGTGGATGGATACGCACTACGTGGGGCTGCAGTTCCCAGACCCGTGAGTGCGCGGGGCGGGGGCGGGGGATGGGGGGGCGCGCTTGGGGACGCTTACCACCTCCGCTCCTCAGGGCTCATCCCAATACCCTGCACTGGGTGGAGGCGTCTGGGAAGCTCGGGGAGCCCCTGCCGCTGGAGGACCACGACGTCTACTGTCCCTACAGCGCCACGGGCAACGCCACGGTGAGCACCCCCTGTCCCGCCCCCAGGACCGGGGTAGCGAGCGTCGTCCTCTCCCGGGTGGCGGGTGGCGGAGGAGGGACAGGGAGAGCTCGCCTCACGGTCCTTCCCATCCCCAGGGAGAGCTGGTGTACGCCCACTATGGGCGGCCAGAGGACCTGCAGGACTTGCGGGCTCGGGGCGTGGAGCCGGCGGGGCGCCTCCTGCTGGTGCGCTTGGGGGAGATCAGCTTTGCACAGAAGGTGAGGGTCCCTGAATGTGTGATGGAGTGGAGCAAGAGGGTGCAGGGCTGCGGAACGCGAAGACAGGATAGCAGCTTATGGGAAGCTTCTAGGAGGCTGTCAGAAAGAGAAAAGAAAGAACCAAGCGGGTAAGAAAGTATTGGCGGGAAGCAAAATCAGGAGGTTGGGACGTAGAACAAGCAGGGAAGACTGTGGAACACAGTGAGGTTTGCTGTGCAAAGGTGGGAAGATGACGGTGGGGGATGGGGTGCTTACAGCCTCTCTCTGCTTCATAATAGCAGAGCAGAGGCAGTGCCACTTTAATTTTACTTGCTTCTCCTGCCCTTATAAATTGGTTGTCTCTTCGAGAAGGAGTCTTTTACCCACGTCCCATCCCCAGGTGGCCAGCGCCCAGGATTTTGGGGCCCGAGGAGTGCTCATATACCCTGATTCTGCTGACTTCTCCCAAGACCCACACAAGCTCGGCCTGTCCAGCCACAGGGCTGTGTATGGACATGTGAGTCTGGGGGCAGCCAGTGGTGGATTCCTGGGGTCCCAAGACTATACCACCTTGTCTGAGATAAGACTTGTAGGCTACTCTTGGGAACCCAGCTCACAGATTCAGCGTGGACACCCCTTTCCTCACAGGTGCACCTGGGAACTGGGGACCCCTACACGCCTGGCTTCCCTTCCTTTAATCAAACCCAGTTCCCTCCAGTCCAGTCCTCGGGCCTTCCTAACATCCCAGCCCAGCCCATCAGTGCCTACGTTGCCTCCCTCCTGCTGAGGTGAGGGGCATGTGGGGACCAGGAGGGGAGGAGAAAGGGAGAGGGAACTAGTTTGTAAAGTCTTTTGGGGTGAACTAGAAAAATCTTTTGGGTGGGCACAGCCTCACGCCCGTGCCTGCTATCCAGTAAGTGCAACTCCAGCTGGGTATCACACCCACTTTCTCTGGACACCTTTGAGCAGGACCTAACCTGCACAATTGTCCAAGGCAGCAGGCACATTGCAGAAGTCGAGCTGGAACCAGAGGGTGGGAGGGAAAGAGCGAAGAGGGAGCTCTGGGCTCTTCCATAGCCTTGGCCTCTCTGCCACTTCCAACTCTTTCTACCCCTCTCCAGGAAGCTCCAAGGCCCTGTGGCCTCCCAGGAATGGCAGGGGCGCCTCCCAGTTTCCCCTTATCGCCTGGGCCCTGGGCCAGGCTTGCACCTAGGGGTCAACAACCACAGGGTCTCCACCCCCATCAGCAACATCTTTGGCTGCATCGAGGGCCGCTCAGAGCCAGGTGTGCTAGCTTGCCCACAGCCTGCAGGAGGGGAGCCATCGCTCATGACCCCAGACTAGAGATGGGGCTGGGGCAGGAGGCCCTGGGGGAGTGGGCAAGAGCGATGCCCAGGGGAGGGGGCAGCAGGGGTTAGTAGGGAAGAAGCCTGCAAGTTGAGGCCGATCTGGTACCAAGGAGGGTGGCAATGAGTAGCTCCCACAGTCAAATCTGTCCAGAGACAGGATGGACAGTTCTGCACAGTAGTGAGTTCCCTAGCATGGAAGGTGAGCAAACATGCTTTGGGTGATGTTATCTCATGAAATGTAGTTCAGGTTAGACAAACGAATATTTCGAGCCTAACTAGATGCAGATAGTGGTGGGGAATCAATGTGGGTTCTTTTTAAAAATTTTAATGTTTAGTCTTGAGAGAGAGAGAGAGAGCGAGAGCGAGAGAGAGAGGGCATGAGCAGGGGAGGTGCAGAGAGGGGGATAGAGGAAGCAGGCTCCGCCCTGATAGCACAGAGCCTGACGTGAGCCTTGAGCCCATGAGCCGTGAGATCACAACCTGAGCTGAAGTCAGATGCTCAACCGACCGAGTCAGCCAGGCGCTCCCGAATCAAAGTGGGTTCTTGAGCTAAAGAATGTGATATCTACAGTCACTGAGGGAGAGACACAGGGAAGCCTGTGATGTGGCTCAGATGAGAAAGGCAGAGGTTGGGGGGGGGGCGGATCAGAGAGAGGGGCAAAGGAGGAAGACCTGTCAGGACTTGTCAAACAGCAGGACATGGCTGACCAGGGAGGTGATGGAATCCCGAATGACCCCAGGCACCCTGCTGAAGGAGCAGGCCATCCAGGCAGGGCCAAGGGGAAGAGGGCCCCTTTCTTTAGGGACAAGAGGGTTGGCAGGGCTGGGACTGCAAAGATGTAGGGGCTGGCAAATGGAGACTGATGAGGCCCCTTGAGCACGTACCCTCCCAGGTGCTTTCTGGGTACTGCCCCAAGGATGTGGACCCCAAACCTTCTCTCCCGCAGATCACTATGTTGTCATTGGGGCACAGAGGGATGCGTGGGGCCCAGGAGCAGCCAAGTCCGCTGTGGGGACGGCCATCCTGCTGGAGCTGGTGCGAACCTTTTCCTCCATGGTGAGCAATGGTAAGGTCAGGGCCTGGGCTGGGCAGCTGGGACTGTGGCCCGAGCCAGGACAGGGCAGAGAGGCAGTAAGAAGCACAGGCTAGAGGGTGGCCACTCAGACCTGGGCTCCAAACCTGGCTTCTCCATGTCCCAGCTGCATGGTCCTGGGAAAGTCACTTTACCACCATTTCCCCATCTAAACATGAAAGTAGAATTGAACCTTGAGCAACGCCAGGGTTAGGGGCACTGACCCCTCTGCTCAGTTGAATCTGCATGTAAATGGACCCAAGCATTTCAAACACATGTTCAAGAATCAACTGTAATAATAGTCCTTGGTCTGAGTGAAGCATTAAGCAGAAGACTCCACATGAAAGCAATCTCCATCACTGTTAAACTTGAGTCAAGGCAGATCAGGGGAGGTGGGCTAGGCTGGGTTGGATGGGAGGGAAGGAGGGACCCCAGGGAAGCAGGGCAGAGGAAGACAATGATGGTGTCTTTGCTTGGTCTTCAGCTGAGCCAATGCTCCCAACCCACTCTGCTTCCAGGCTTCCAGCCCCGCAGAAGCCTTCTCTTCATCAGCTGGGACGGAGGGGACTTTGGGAGTGTGGGCTCCACAGAGTGGCTGGAGGTAACGTGAGGTCCAGGGCAGGGAGTCAGGCAGTGGGAAGAGGTGGGGAGGGGGTTAAACTCCACATCCCTCACCCACAGGGCTACCTCAGTGTGCTGCACCTCAAAGCTGTAGTCTATGTGAGCCTGGACAATGCAGTGCTGGGTGAGTGGGGATACTGTGGCCAGCTGGGCCCCCTCTGGTGCACCCTGCCCTTGGGGCCAAGCCTTGAGCCTGGCATCCCTTCTCCTCCCTCTCTGCAGGAGATGACAAGTTCCAGGCCAAGACCAGCCCCCTTCTGATCAGCCTCATAGAGAACATCCTGAAGCAGGCAAGGCCCTGGCCAGGAGCAGGGCATGAAGGGAAGCTTGTGGCGGCCAGGGCCTGACCTGACTGGTGCCCCTTACCTTGCCCCCAGGTGGACTCTCCTAACCGCAGTGGGCAGACCCTCTATGAGCAGGTGATGTCCAACAATCACAGCTGGGATGCTGAGGTGTAAGTTGGGGCAAGGGTGAGGGAGGGCAACTTGTAGGGGAGCCAAACCCACAGAGCACTCCAACCTGCCCACTCCCAGGATCCGGCCACTGCCCATGGACAGCAGTGCCTATTCCTTCACGGCCTTTGCGGGGGTCCCTGCCGTTGAGTTCTCTTTCATGGAGGTGAGACTTCCTGTCCCTGTCCCAGAGCCACAGCCCCTCAGCCTGTCTGCACAAAGACCTGTGTTAGCCCTCACTCTGTTCCGGCAGGATGGCCAGGTGTACCCGTTCCTGCACACGAAGGACGACACATACGAAAACCTACACAGGGTTCTGCGGGGCCGCCTGCCTGCGGTGGCCCAGGCTGTGGCCCAGCTTGCTGGGCAGCTCCTCATCAGGCTCAGCCACGATCACCTGCTGCCTCTGGACTTTGGCCGCTACGGGGACGTGGTCCTCAAGCACATCGGCAGCCTCAACGAGTTCTCTAGGGACCTCAAGGTCCAAGACACCAACCCTGCTCCTGGCTTCTGGGGGCGGGGGCCGGTATATCCCCTCAAAGTGCTGCCCATTCCAGAGGTGTGGCCCCTCCTCCCCACAATCCTTAGGGTCTAGTGCCCTCTGGCAACCTGGCCCCTTTACTCCTGCCCTAGGCCCCTTAGGCCCCAGCTCACACCCTCCCAACCACACAGATCTTCCCTATCCCAGTATTCTGTTCCACTATACCCCCTAGTCCTGCCAGCCCCAGGGTCCCAGGGTCCCAGGGTCCCAGCTCCATCCCCCATCCTGGCCTCTGCCTCTGGCCCCAGCCTGCATCATCACCCTCAGGCCCGCGGACTAACCCTCCAGTGGGTGTACTCGGCGCGGGGGGACTACATCCGGGCGGCTGAGAAGCTGCGAAAGGAGATCTACAGCTCCGAGGAGAGCGATGAGCGGCTGATGCGCATGTACAACGTGCGCATCATGCGGGTGAGGCCCCGCCCCCTGCCACGCCCTCTCCCTTTTCCGGTGGCCTGTAGCCGCCCTCCGCAGGCATTTTCCCTCTTTCAGTCTTTGCCCGGTTCCTGTGGTCCCTGTCCTCTGGGCGCTTCCAGGCCCGGACTGACAGTGCTCACAGACCGGCGAGGCTGGAATAACCACTGAGACAGGCCCCACAAAGTGAAGAAACTGACAGGGAGGGCCAGCCACTTGGCTGACCGCTTGGCAGACGGTGTGGCAGAACTGCCCTGCCCTGAGCCCTCCATGATTGTCCACAGTACAGGAGGCACAAGCTTACGGCCCAGGAGGGGCAAAGGCTTAAGAAATTCAGAGCAAAGAGAGCTCTCTTCCTTCTGGTAATAAGAGAGATGAAACCCAGAGAAGCTGCCGGGGGGAGGTGTCACATAAAGTTTTACAGGATCTTGTTTTGACCAATCACTCCTGTTTCTTTTTGAATACTTTGCAACTCACGCTCCATCTCTTCTTCCAACCTCTCCACTTTCTTCCATTTCTTTACTCTAAAAACTCAATCCCACAACCCTTTGATTTCTGGAAATGGAATAAGTAGGGACCGTGGGTGTGGGAGAAAGTCGACAGGACAAAATTCTAAGCAGGACCATCCTCTGTGCGTGTGGTGTGGACAGGGAACCCATAGTGTATGCAGGACCATGGCTTTGGAACATGTCTTTGCTTATATTTCCCTCCTTATGACCTTGCCTGTTTTCCTTGGCACCACTCATTCCTTGTTTCTGTTCACAAACCCATCCCTCTTGCTCTTTCATCCTTGCTCTTTTCTCCTGATCCCTCTCATTCTTCTCTCTCTTCAGTTTCCTCTCTTCCTCCCCTACTTCCTGACCTCTCTATCTCCTCTTCCCTTTGTCCCTTCCACTGAGACACTGCATGGTTCATTCTCATTCACAGATCTTGCTTTAATTCCTGCTGTGCCAGACTCCAGGAACACAAAAAGATACTACTCCCTTCACCCACCCCACCCCCCAAGTTGCCACATGCCCCCCAGGGAATAAAAGGCATCTGTGTGTTAGGGGCATGGCTCAGACTCAGGGCTGGAGAGTAAACGACTCAGGACTTCAGAACCAGCAACACAGCTGGCTCTAGACCAGGGGTTGGTAAACTTTAGCCAGTGGGCCAAATTTGGCCTGCTGCCTGTTTTTTCAAGTAAAGTTTTATGGAAACACAGCCATGTGCATTGATTTTCAGATTGTCTGTGGCTGCTTTTGTGGTAGCTATGGTGGCAAAGCTGAGTGTTTGCAACAGAAACAGTATGGCCTGCAGAGCCAAAAATATTTGCTACTTGACTTTTTGCAGAAAAAGCTTGCTAACCCCTGCTTTAGACTGTGATGTTGGCCTTGAGGAACAAACAGAACTTGGGTTGGTGCAAAAAAAAAGACATTTCAGAGTGGAGAGACCCAGAGTAAGGGAATGACAGTGAGATAAGCCTGACTGTCCTTGGGAGCAGGACATGGACCAGCAGAGCTGGAACAGAAGCCTGTGGAGAAGTAGAAGGGAGAGGTGCACCAAATTGTGGGAGAGAGATCATCTATCAAGGGAAACTTGAATGCCAGGATAAGAAGTTTGGATTTTTAGGGTCTGGGCATCAAGCGAATTAGAAAGGTGTTATGGTGGGGGCAGAGCAGAGTTTTAGGGAGGATTTGGCCAGACTGTACATGGTGAAGAGGGAATGAACAGAGTGACTAAGCTCTGGATGAGGAGTGGTAGTAGATACCACTTGTGGGTGAGGGAACTGTAATAATGGGAGACATTCGGAAGGAAAATGGACAGATGGGGTATTGAGGAAGGGGAGAGGGAAAATGATAGCAGCTGCCGTTTTTTGAGGGCTGCCATGTGTGTGGGTTTTCCTGCATTTTCTCTCACAGGACTCCCCCATATCTTGTGTGGTTGCTAGTACTGTACAAAGATAACTTATCCAAGATAACAGTAAGTGGTGGAGCCAAAATCAGAAACCAGGCAGTCTGAGCTCACCCCACTCACATGAACACACCTTCGGGGCTGAGAGGCACTGGGGAGACCCTGGTGCTCACGAGGGACTGTGGGTGCAAGGGTCAGGTTTTAGAAAAAGTTGGTGCTCACATGTGTATGAGGCTGTGCCCAGGTGCCCCCTACCTGGTGGGGAGGGCCAGAAAAGTGGAAGCCAGGATTTCAGTGGATGATTTTTGTCAAGTAGACTTGGCAATTATCCCCATGAGGTCCTGACTGCAGCCAGGGGCACTGAGGAGCCCTTCCAGAGAAAGATGGAGGACCTGAAAAGATGTGAGCTTGTGAGACCACCCCTAGAGATTCCGATGTTGTTGGGGTGGCACCCGCGCGATGGTGATTCTAATAAACAGCCAGGCTTGAAAACCACCGGATTGTAGGTAAGGAGAGGAGCAGAGGGTGGGGGTCCAGCCTTGGGCCTGCCCACAGGTGGGAGCACAAGAAACCCAGAGAGGCTGGAAGAAAGGTAGGAGAACTGGAGTGAGGCCATCTCAAGAAGGATGATCAGCATGCAAGTTATAGAGGACAGAGTCAGGCACTTCATTAGCGCTGGCCAGTCCCCTTGACCTTTGACTCTAATATGTAGACGCTAGAGGCCGTGAGGGGGAATGACTAGGGTGTAGGAGAGTGAGGAACACCAGGACGATAGACTGTTCTTTAAGGCTTCAGCCGGGTAAGTGAATGGGAGGCGTAGATGCTGGCTTGGAGGTCGGAGGGATAGAAAGGGATATAATCCGAAACACAGTAGGAGGACGCATCCTACCCGGTTGCAGGTGACGTCAAAGAATGGCTACTCCCGATTGGATAGTCAAAGGGAGGTGGGACTTAAAGAAGCTGCTCAGCAATGTTCGCCTAGGTGTGTTTGGCCCCCGCGCTCCAGGGTGAACCCCCAAGCTGACCTGATCCCCTTCTCGGTGCAGGTGGAGTTCTACTTCCTGTCCCAGTACGTGTCGCCGGCCGACTCCCCATTCCGCCACATTTTCCTGGGCCACGGAGACCACACGCTGGGCGCGCTGCTCGACCACGTGCGACTGCTGCGCTCGGGCGGCTCCGGAGACCCTAGAGCTGCCTCCTTCCAGGTGCCTCCCGGTCTGAGCTTCCAGGAGAGCCGCTTCCGACGCCAGCTGGCCCTGCTCACCTGGACGCTGCAGGGGGCAGCCAACGCACTTAGTGGGGACGTTTGGAACATCGATAACAACTTCTGAGGTCCGCGGTGGGCTGGACGAGCATATGCCCCTGCCAAGAGCTCCTGCCCTCCCGCTTGAGTGATTTCTAGGTGATGGAGGTGCCTAGTACCACCTCTACCTGCTGACCGATTTCTCATTAGCCTTTCCCGTCCTTGCAAGGGGCCCAGCCAAAATGCCTGCGCACACACCCACACCCCTAGCCCTGAAGTGTAGGAGTAGTTGAGGAGTGCCTTCCACAATGGACCGGCCGTACTGTCAGCTAATCAGAGAGCAGCATCTGCCCTTTCATCATAGCCCTTTACCTTTCGGGAAAGAGGTCCCCTACACTTAGAGACCACTCTGGAAGGTTTCCTAGGTCCTGGGACAGGACCAGTCTAGTGGGAGAATGACTGGAACCATAGCCTGTGGCCAACTGGTGGTCTCTGGTGGGAGAGGCTGGGGTTTGGATCTTAATAAACCACCTGGTGGCATCTGTTGTTTATAAGCACCTTTATGCTTCTTCCTCACCCTCACTCTACCCAATCCTCCCTCCCTTGAGACAGGGACGGGTTGGGCAGAGGGGCCAAAGAGGATGCAAGTAGGAATGGTGTCTTCATGGGGAAAACTGAGCTGTTCTGTTACCTGAGGAAGGAAGCTGTCTAAGGAAATAAAGACGGCCCTTCTCCAAAGACCATCGAGGGGTGAAGAGCTGGCTTCTACTGAGACCAGAGATGGATACATTATTTGTAGGGCCTCTTGTTCAAAAGGTATGAACGACCCTTTTTCCTTCCCACAGTCTTTCAACCTGTATGGTGGAATTTAACTTGCTACTTAATGTCCAGATCTTCAGACGGAAATACCCTGGGGCAGATCCTCATAGGCACTCAGGGCTCTGTTCCACAACTTGGTAGGGATGGCGCACATGCCAGACCCTGACTGTGACCTGGAGACTCCCTGTGCCTGGTCAGGCCCTGCTGGGAAAGGAGGGTAACAGCTGTCTCTGGGTGGAGAAAGGGAGCTAGCAGGTAAGAATCTGACCAGGGGCAGCAAGATCCCCAGCACATCCTCCATTGTCCCATCAGACTGTGCTTCCAAAATATAAATTCAGACAAGATCGGGCGCGTTCAGGGTGGTATGGTCATAGACCCTAAAACATAAACTAAAAGGCAGAATCAATTAAGAATTTCAAGTAGGTGACCACAGAGCATTAACTCCCAAACACGGGGCCTCCTGAGCATGGGGCCCTGGGAGAGGAGACTGCAGGGGTCACACACACCTGTTAGATTTGCCCACCCTGGTGCAGCCCCTCTGAAAAACAGTGTGGAGGTTCCTCAAAATATTAACAATAGAACTCCCCTATGACCCAGCAATAGCACTGCTAGGAATTTACCCAAGGGATACAGGAGTGCTGATGCATAGGGGCACATGTACCCCAATGTTCATAGCAGCACTCTCAACAATAGCCAAATCATGGAAAGAGCCTAAGTGTCCATCAACTGACGAATGGATCAGGAAGATGTGGCTTATTTATACAATGGAATACTCCATGGCAATGAGAAAGAATGAAATCTGGCCATGCGTAGCAACATGGATGGAACCTGAGGGTGTTGTGCTGAGTGAAATAAGTCAGGCAGAACACAGATACCATATGTTTGCAAATATAGGTGGATTAGGAGGAACTTAATGGAGGACCATGGGGGAGGAGAAGGGGAAAAATAGTTGGGGAGGGAGGGAGGCAAACCATGAGAGACTCTTGAATATTGAGAACAAACTGAGGGCTGATGGGGGTGAGGGAGAGGGGAAGGGGGGCGATGGACATGGAGGAGGGCACTTGTTGGGATGAGCACTGGGTGTTATATGGAAACCAACTTGACAATAAACTATTTAAGAAAAAAAAAAAAGATTCACCCACCCTGGGACTTCTCTCCCCATGGGTCCCCTTTGACCAAAGGGGTCTTTGTCCAGCAAGGTAGAAGCTGCAGGAGGGCAGGGGAGTGTAAGTGCTGTCCGCACCACTTTACCTTTAATCACATCTCAGGAGGCGGCAGCCCTGGCCCTCACTCCCAGGGCAGCTGCATAAATCCTAGGGCCTGTGTCTGGGCTACTGGGTCCTCTTGATGCAGACAGGTCCTACCCTGCTCCTCAGGACGCTGGGGAGTGAAGGCCTCTTAGTGTACAGCTTGCGATCCCCCAGGCCCCGGGTTCCAGGATGAAACTTCCCCCTCTTGAGCACCCTGAGCCTGACTTGGTGGGTTCTCAGGAGTCTGGACTAGGGTTAGACCCTTCTCAACTATTTGCTTCTCTGACATAATATCCACAACAAATTTCCCAAAGTGGTTTCTCAGCCCTTCACCTTGTCCAGAATACCAATCTGGAAAAGAGACGTTCCTGTCCTAATCCCCAAAACCTGTGAATGAATGTTACCTTGCCCAACAAAAAAGGACTTTTTGGAGGTGATTGGGTTGAGGATCTTGAGATGGGGAGTGTTTTGTGCTGAAATGTGCTCCCCCACCAAATTCCTATGTTGAAGTCCTAACTTCCAATATCTCAGTCTGTGTTTGGAGATGGGCCTTTAAAGATGTGATTAAGTTCTTGGGGGCGCCTGGGTGGCTCAGTTGGTTAAGCGTCCAACTTCGGCCCAGGTCATGACCTCACAGTTTGTGGATTCGAGCCCCGCATTGGGCTCTGTGCTGACAGCTCAGAGCCCAGAGCCTGCTTTGGATTCTGTGTGTATCTCTCTCTCTGCCCCTCCCCTGCTTCCACTCTGTCTCTTTCTCTCTCAAACATAAATAAAACATTAAAAAAAAAAAAGATGTGATTAAATTCAAATGAAGCCATTAGAGTAGACCTAAGCCAATCTGATCAGTGTCCTTGTAAGAAAATTGGACACAGAGAGACATCAGGGATGTGCACACACAGAGGAGAGGTCATGTGAAGACATGGCGAGAAGAGGGCAATCTGGGAGCCAAAGAGAAGGTTCCAGAGAAACCAAACCTGTTGACACCTTACTCTTGAACATCTAGCCTCTGAACTGTCAGAAAATTAATTTCTGTTTAAGCCCCCACCATCTGTGCAGCCCTAGCAAACTAACAGGGAGATTATCCTGGATTGAGGGAGAGGGGGGATGTCATCAATAGGGTTCTTCTAGGAGGCAAGAGGATCAGAGACATGACAACAGAGGCAGAGAACAGATGGAGTCTGTCTTAACATTATCTTGCTGATTTTTCTCCCCAGTCAACGATCTGCCAGTGTCACTGGCTGTCCCTCTTCCTTTCTTCTCCCTTGCCCTGCATCTGATAGAGGGCTGGACACCTACCTTTCAAGGATCCTATTCTTTTCCTGTGCCTTAGTTTCTCCTGCCTGGTTGTGTTGAGGTTATGTCAGGCAATCCCATTTTCCCCAGTCTTGCCAGGGACCTTGGTGTTTCTGATCCACAGGAGTGGAAGTCATAAAGGAAGAGACAAAAGCAGATAAAGGGTCAAAAAGGCAGAAAAGGATTCTGGGTACTGGAAACATCTAGGAAACCCTGGCAAGAGGCTCTGATAGCTCAAGAATATGAGACTAGATGGGACATCTGGGTGGCTTGGTTAAGCGTCCGGCTCTTGGTTTCAACTCAGGTCATGATCTCACAGTTTCATGAGTTTGAGCCCCATGTTGGGCTCTGCACTGGCAGCGGGGAACCTGCTTGGGATTCTCTCTCTCTCTTTTTCTGCCCCTCCCCCACTCCGTTCCTCTCAGAATAGAAATAAAACTTAAAAAAAAGAAAGACTGAAACTGTATGTCTACAGTGGGTGGGATTAGGCAGGATTTGATTCTTTGTAATTTGAGTACATCAGTTTAGGGACAGGACCCTTTGTTAGAGGTAAAGGGGACATTAAAAAAATTGTTTGCCCAATTCCCTCATTTTAGAGGTAGAAATAGAAGCTCAGAGAAGTTCAATGACTTGCTCAAGGCCACACAGTTTTTCTGGTGCAGCACCAGGATTAGAACCCTCACTGGGCCCCTTCACTGCCCCTGGGCTCCCAGGTCCCCTGGGGATGGGAGGAGGAACTGGAGGAATGAAGTGGGAAGAAAGGGGCTTGTTCCCTATGTTTCTCAGTTTAAATTTCAAAAATTTATTCAATTTGGAAAATGAATACAAATCCCTGGGTAGTTGGGGAGGGAGGCTGGGCAGGAAGAAGAAGGTTAGGAGTTGAGGCAAGGCATGAGCATCACAGTGGCTGTCTCATGTGCACATCCACGTCTCTGCCCCAGGAGGTGGGTGGAAGTTGAGCAGGGAGCTCAGGTCCGAAGGAACACCATGGTGAGGAGGCCTGGAGGGGGAGGACAGAAGAGCAAGACCAAATGAGCAGCCTTGAGGCTCTGCTAGCCTTCCTCGTGGCCCCCATCTCCCTAGCCACTACTGCTCACCCAAGATGTAGGCCGCCACCAACTTCTGTCCCAGGGAGACGTGCAGAATTTGGGGCAGCTGGCTGCCAAGTTCATCCTGGAGTGGAAGCAGCAGGAAGGCCACGGAGACTATGCCGGTCAGCAAGAAGAGGAGGAAGGAACTGGTGGCCAGTTGCGGATGGGGGTCTGGGAAACAAGCCTGGCTCATCAGAAGCTCCAGCCCCCCTCCTGCCCAGCCCACCGTCCCCAGGAAGGAAGCTGGAGATTGGAGGTGTGTCTATTTTTTATTGCCTTCCAAGGGGCATTCTGCAGGTGTCCTCTCCTCCCTGGAGCCTCTGTCCCAACAATCACAAGAAACCCTCTATCCTCTGGTCCCTCAGCATTTTTTTTTTTTCCTATTCACCCTGTCTTCATTACTGGCTCCTGTGGACATGTTTGTCAGGCAAGAACTTTATCTCCCATATAGAGCCCACAACTTGGTACAGCACAGTGGTTCAGTATGCGTTTCATATTGAACTGAACTAAGCTGGCACATGATAGGAAGTACTGAAGTTAGAGCCAAGGGAGAACTTTTCCCTCTAAGTAGAAGCCAGAAACCAGAAACCACGAAAAACTACAAAAGTCTGTGTTTTGCTTAACCTCATATAAAATCTTAGCTTCTAGGAATGCTTCTACCAAAACGCAAAAGACTGAACCGGAAGACCCCTTCTACTTCAAGTGGGTGCATCTCTAGGGTAATGCTCAAGAACTCAAGAATTCCCATCCCCCAACTCACTCTCGGGGAAGTGTCTGGCCGTGGATGGTGCTGTCCAGGAAGGAGGCCCTGGGTGGGGCGTTGGGTCAGGCTGTCCCTGAAGCTCAAGGGGGTAGGCTGGGGCCCTCAGAATCGAGGTGATGTCCTTGCGCCCCACCACTCGACCCTCAGCTCCTTCCTCAGACAGCTCAATGCGGAAGCGGTCCTGGACCTCATAGTGGCTGGGAATGGGGGCCACGTGGCGAATCACACTGGTCCCAAAATAGGAGAGAGGCCCATTGAGAGGAAGTGAGTGACAGGAAGTGATCCAAGTGGATCCAGGCTCCACCTCCCAGGAGCCTTTCCCTTAGGGATGCTGACAGAGGTGGGGAAAAAGGTTGAAGAGGACCAGGTCTGAGCCATAGGGCACGGGTGCGGTAATTCTGACAACGGTGGCAGCGACCCCTGGCTTCCACGAGTCCCCTCAACCCTCCCAACTCACATGTCAATGCAGGACTGAGGTTTCACATATCCTTCTGCGTCAAACACCGTGTATTTGGCAGGTGCTGTGCACAGGACTGAGGGATAAAGGCATACACAGACCGATTTGCTTTAGAGACCCTACACAAGCTTGCCCAGGGAGGGACACTAGAGTCCCTCTTGCCTCTACCCCAGGGAAGGACATGACTCTTACAGTCTGCCAAGGTTGGATATCTGACCCTGCTCATCACACTCCTCCAGCCCACACAGCCCCCCAATGTCTTGGCCCCAGACCCAGAACCCTAGCATGAGGCGCCCATCCATTCACCTCGGAAGTGAAGCGCTGCTCCCGTGGGGTTATAGAGGGTCAGCAGCTGCCGGGGTCCGCTCCGCTGGTCCGCTCTGAATACTAGGTCCGGGGGAAAGACGAGAACCGGGACAAGTCCCGAGGGAGGAGGGGCGCCCCGGGACCCCCGCGCAGGAGCCCCCGGGCCCACCAGCTCCTGGTCCTGGGGCGCCCCACGGCGCATGCAGGCTGCGGACGGTGGGACATCCGAAGGCAGAGCCCAGGGGACAGGGCCTGGAGTCTAGAGCTGTTGAGCGAGAGAGGAGAAAGGAATCGAGATGAGATCGGGGGACAGGGCCTGGTCTGATGCTGCCGCCGCCACGTCGGAAATCCGCTAGATGAGGCTCCCCCAGACCAGGCCCAGTCCCCCCAAGCCCTTCCCCTCTCCTGCTCTGTCCGGGTCTCTTTCGGCCCCGCCTCAAGTCCCACCTCATAGCCACGCCCACCCCATAAACCCTGCCCCTAACTGCTCCCAACCCCGGCCTCGTCTCCAGGCCCGGCTCCGGATCTCCAAAAGCCCCGCCCGCCCCGCTGCAAGCCCCGCCCCTTCCGGGCGTCCCTGCTCTCCGGCCAGACCTCGCCTGCCGCAGCACCCCGTCCGGAACCGCCCCTTCTCTAGCTCTCCGGAGATTTTTATATAAGTGCCTCCGATTCCTCCCTGAGCTCGGCCCGCAGCTCCTTCGTGCCTCAGCCTCCAAACAGCCGCTCGTGCTGTAAGGCTTACCCTCTGGTCACTGCACCTGCCAATCAACTTGTGGCCGGACTGAGGCTGCCATCTTCCCGAGACCATTTCTACACTTCCGCCGTACAGTCTCTGTCATTGGCTAGGGAGCTCTCGTTTCCGCCGTAAGCATATGTCCTTTGGTGCACTTAAAGACGTGATTAGCTTGATCCCGGTGGCGTGAAACATTACGGGCGACTCCGGCTCTAATGCTGGAGCTCAGGGGTAGCGGACGGGGACCCCAGCAGGCTGGAAGCCTTGCTTTGTTCCTCCCTCCCCACTGAGACCTACAACTCACTAGAGTCAGCATCCCACAGGGAAGCCCTCTTTCTTTACTTTAATTCCAGGCTTTCCTAGAAGCCTCTGCAGCAATCATAGCCGTTTTCCATAGTACCAGTTGCGAGGTTGCTTCCAGTTGGACTCGGATCGAGACAGGGAAACTGAAGGCATCCCATGAAAAAAAAGCCATCCACCCCCAACCCCATTGCTTCTTTTCTGACTTCTATTCTTGATAGGACCCGCATCCCCACCCCACTCTACACAAATCTCCTAATGCAAAACACATGTCCTCCTTGTAAGGGACAAAGAGATAATGATATCTTTGATGTCTTCCAGAACAGTAGGCGATATCTAAAGAATGAATGACCCGGGAGAGCCATCATGTGCATATTCCAGACCACTGGCACCCAGTATCTCCAAGACCCCAGGCTTCATGGAACGAGTGGCTTATGAAGGACACCTGCACCCTATCCTTGTTCTGACCAGTTCCTGGATGCCTGAGAGGACATGTGCACAGAGCACAATCACCAGTAAAACCCCAGACTCCAAGAAAAGATGAAACTTGTGGCCTTTTCCTTTCCAAGTCTCCTAGACGCCCAGTACGTATCTCTCTATCTTCAATAAACTGCCAGCTCATGTTTGATTTGTATCCTGCATGAAGCCAAGGACCCTTTTGGCTGGGTCTGCAGACCCAGCCGGCCTGCATCAGGATCTCAGCCCACGCCTCCTCTCCTGAGTTTCCCTTTCTTTCATGGGACTCAAATCACCCACATTTGCACAAGAAAGTAGGATTTACCAACCCTGCCACTTGCATCATCCCACTGAATCTTAACTCCTTTCACAGATGAAACAGCCTCAGTAAGGTGAAGAATCTCACCCTAGGCCACCTGATTGGTTAGCAGTAGAGCAAAAAGAAAGTTCGTTTTATCTCAAAGCCATCCCTGAGCACCCCATCAAATGTAGAATCCCCCCCCCTTTATACTTTTAGGCTGTTTTCTTCATAGCATGGTTTCACCTGACACCATGGTTATCTTTATTTCTATTTTTAAAGTTTATTTATTTTTGAGAGAGAGAGAGAACAGTGCAGGGGGCAGAGAGAGACTCCCAAGCAGTCTCTGAACTCACAAACTGTGAGATCATGACCTGAGCCAAAATCAAGAGTCAATTGACTCTTAACTGACTGGGCCACCCAGGTGCCCCAACACCATGTTTATTTTATTGTGTATTTCCACTCCAGTAGAATGTACTCTCCTCCCCATAAGAGCAGAGACTTTGTTTTGTTTTCTGGTTTATTCCACAGTGCTTGGCATTTGGAATGAACAAATGAATGAGTGACTAGGATGAACTTTGAGCTGAGATCTGATTGAAGTTAGGAAATGAACCATGATAAATCAGTGGAGAGAATTCTGGATAGAGGGGATGGCAAAGGCAAAGCCCCCAACCAGAAGGGTACTGAAACTGGTCATGGAGTCACCGAGAGTGGAAAAGCACTTGCAAAGGAGACAATAGTCAGAGATGAGATGAGGTGGGGGGCTGGATACAGATTACCTAGAGCCCCAGAGTCTACATACAGGAGGACTTTGGCTTTTATTTTGAGACTAATGGGAAACTATGGGTGAGGTTTTCTTTATCTCTTTTTTAATAGCTTTATTGAGATATCTTAGACATATAAAAATTGTATATATTTAAGGTATACTGATATTTGGATTTATGTACACAATGTGAAAAGACCACAATCAAGCTAATTAACATGTCCATCCCCTCTACATAGTTACCAATGCATGTGTATTTATTTTTTTATGTCTTTATCTTGAGAGACAGAGACAAAGAGCGAGTGGGGGGAGGGGGAGCAGAGAGAGAGGGAGACACAGAATCTGAAGCAGGCTCCAGGCTCTGAGCTGTCAGCACAGAGTCCGATGTGGGGCTCGAACCCACAAACTGTGAGATCATGACCTGAGCCGAAGTCGGATGCTTAACCGACTGAGCCACCCAGGCGCCGCTGTGTGTGTGTATTCAGAATGTGGGAGAGTTTTGGGGTGCCTGGGTGGTGCTGTTGGTTAAAGGGCTGACTCTTGAGCTGGCTCAGGTCATGATCTTGAGGTCATGAATTGAAGCCCAGCATTAGGTTGTGTGCTGAAAGTGCAGAGCCTGCGTGCTAGAGATTCTGGCTTTCCTCATTGCCCCTTCCCTGCTTGTGCTCCTGTCTCTCCCTCTCAAAATAAATACATAACTTAAAAAATATATATATACGTATATATATATGTATATATACACACACACGTGTGTATATTATATATATATAATAGGAGAGTTTTGAGCAAAGGGGTGACAAGGTCTTACATTCTTAAAAGATTGTTCTGTTACAGTAAACATCTACTGAGTTTAACAAATGAATGAATTCTCTTAGATGGACCCCCAAACCATAGAAATGGAGATGTGACCCCTTCCTCAGTCAAGAAACATTTATTTGGATAAGAAAGAAGTCCCTAGGCCTAGGGCTGGGAAGCTGACCTGGGTTTCAGGACTGGGACCCAGCAGCCCGGACAGGTTGGGAGGGGCACTTCCTCTTGCTGAGGTTGGTGAGGATCTGGTCCTGGTTGGGCCGGTAGAGAACCACGAAGCTCTCTGGAGGAAGGGTAGGACCTCTGTTCTCTTCCACCTGGCCCATCATCAGATAACTGACTCCTGGGGGAGGGAGGGAGGGATTGAGAGTGTGTTATTGAGACCTTGTAGATATACCTCCTCATCAGAGTCCTTCAGTTTCTATCATTTTCATGAGGCTAAGTCCTCCCCATTTGCCCACATCTGTTACCTTTCTTCATAGGGGGGCACTGCTTGCAGGGCACATAAAACTTCAGGGGGGTGTCAGTGATTGGAGAAGGCAGGTCCAGACCTCCGGTTTTGTAAGCACCAATGAGACTGACAGTGACAGTGAGGCCCTCCCCTGGGCCCCGAACCATGGACTTCACTGTTGCGGTCACCACTGTGGGAGAGTGGGGGTGAATGGTGAGGAGAGAGGAGGCCGATTCAGGGCTGGAACCAGGAGGAGGGACTTTGAGGGCAGGAGGGGCAGGTGAAAACTGCTGGACAAGCAAAGCTGGGAGATGGAGCTTCTTACCCAGGTTGCTGGTACAGAAGTTGCTCTGCAAGGTTCCTGTCCGGCGGCACTGCTTTGGGCAGGGGACACTGGGCACATCTAAGAGGGAGGAGGGTGTGGTTTGTGGAGGGCGACCCATGCGGCAGGTAGGAAGTGCCACTTTCCCCATAACGGCCTCATTGATATGAATTCATCCCAAGCTCTTTCCAGCTTTGGGCCCCAGCACCCAGTACCAGACATGAGTTTGGAGGAGGCACCGGTGAGTTACACATGAATGAATGAATAAGTTCAGAAAGGAGGTCTTTGAAACAGCTGCCTTCAGTCTGTGTCCCCTTCCTCCCCCTTCCCAGACTCACCGGGCCCCCTCGGAGTTGCCGGAGCCTCAGACGAGGCTTTTGGTTTCTCCTCAGACGGGATTCCGGGTTTAGGGCCCGGGCTGAGGAGTTGGGTACCCGACTGGGCGTCCTCCCCAGGGCTCCGAGCCTGCTCTTCCTTGGCAGCACCCCGCGGCAGGGTCTTGTAGGAGGCGGAGAAGCCATCGGCCGTGACACTGAGGTCAGAGACGAACTGGACGAGGAGCTCGTTTCCTTCGGAGGAGATGGGACTGCGGGTGGCGGGGCAGCGGGGGAAGCGTCAGGCGGGCCTTGTGATCTCTGCCCTGGGTTGGCTGTACCAGCTTCCAGACTTCGCAGGACCTATTCGCCTCTGGATCCCCGGACCACTTTTGCCTGGCTTCCAACCTAGCTCCGCCCACTCGCTTGGGGCTCCCGGGTTCAGATCCTGCCTCTTCAGCTAAGCCTGGCCTTTCCCAACCGCTGCGAGGTTCCCGCCACTGTCTCCCCTAGGGAGTTGGAGACGCCGGGACCCACAGCCCACCCAGGTTCCGCCCCCTCACCCCGGGGCGGTGTCGCCGCAGAACTTCCCCAGCCTCTTGGCGTCGTCGCTCACTGCTCCGTTGAAAACGCTGACCGAGTCATAGCGGCAGTAGGTGTCGGGCTCCAGGTCAAACTTCCCGAAGGTCAGCGAGATCACCTGGCCGCGGGACCCAGGGCGGCTTGAGGGCGCAGAAGCCCTGCCCCTCTGGCCTCCTGCACCCCGCGTTGCCTCCGGGAACCCGGAAGCTCGTGGCAGCTTCCTCTCCCCCCACTCCGGCGTCCCCTGGAGACTCCCCACCCCCAGAGCATTCACCACTACTCGGAGGATCACACACCCAGGGGAACCTTTCAGTGGCGTCTGTCGCCGTCGTCGGCAAGGTCTAGTCCTGGCTCATTCTCAAGGAACAGACCTAGCATACACCTCCACCGCCACCACATACACACCTACACACACACACACACACACACAAACACCGTTTATATATCAGCATCGTGTACCTCACTCTCGTAAGACCGTCACAGGTGTAATTTTACATTTTTTTGTTTGTTTGAGTGCAAGCAGTTCTGGGTCTGTTTTTGCTCCCCACCAGCGCGAGCTCACTGGTCGGGACATAGCAGATGGTCAGTTAATCTCTACTAACTGCCTGCTGGAGGACGCCGCCTGGGTCCCCGAGAGCAGCCGGGGCAGGGGGTCGGTACCTGGTCCGGGGGAGCGATGATGTGCCAGGAACAGCTGATGCCCGGGGGGTAATCGGACTCTGGCCAGTTGGGCGTGGTCAGGGTTCCCTGGGCCTTCTCCAGCCGCCCCCCGCAAAATTGGTGCTCTGGGGAGGGGAGAAAGGAGTGGGGGTGGGAGGCGGTGGAGACCCTCGGTCAGCTCGAGGAGAGCTCTGTGCTGGAAGCTCGGACGGTTGTGTCTCAGCGTGAGGGGATGAGAAGGGTAGGAAAGAGGGGGTTTGGTTAGCAGAGAGGGGGCTTGGAGGACCAGGGCTCAGGGGAGTCTTGGACCGCCTGGCGCCCAGGCGGGCGGTGGAAGGGGAAGGACTTGGCTGGACACGCTCCCTTCTCGCCCCTCCCCCTGACCCGCGGCCACCTCGCTCCTCTTCCCCTGGGAGATCCCATCTCCCCGGCCTGGCGGAAAAGTCCCATTTGCAGGCTGGGGAGTCCTCACGCTGTGAGGGCTCCCTCAAATTAGGGCACAGCCCCAGGGGCCTCTTGGGCGAGGTCCCTGCCTTAAACATTTTAGGGGAGACTTATACCGCCAGGAGGGGGTGATGGGACCGCAATCGGGAGCCCCGGGTGGGTGTAGGGGGCTCCAGGTCGGGGGAACCTAGTCCCCCAGCCCGGGGATGCCCCCTCGCGCCCGTCTGAGGGAGCCCGATTGCGGACGGGGGCGGGCAGTTACTCACCGTCCCAGTAACCCCAGGCCGCCCATTCCACCCGCGGGTCGGTGACCCACTTCCGCCTCGCGCCTGGGGGGGGCCCTGGAAGAGGGGATGGGTGGGTGCGGGAGGGGCGAGAGAAGACGGGGAGGAGGGACTGAAGGGACAGTTAGTGAGGAAAAAGGGTAAGGGAGGTAATGGGGGCCCTAGGCTCTCGGTCGCAGGGTTTGTCTTAGGGGGGAGGTTAAGGCTGGGGGCGGGGCCTAGGCCGGGGGCGGGGCCAGGAGAGGGGGGAAGGCGGAGGTGAGGGAGGTCTCACCAGTGCCGGAGGTGGCCCGCCCGCTGTACCAGAGCAGGAAGCCTCGTCCTCCCGTGCCCTCGTCTGCAGTCATCCTCAGGGTCACCTGGTTGCCGGGGACGACTAGGGGCGCTGGCCGGAAGGTCCCGCAGAAGCGTCCAAGCCGCTGGCCAGAGGTTCCAGACCCGGCAAAGACCTCCAGAGCATCGTAACGGCAGGCAGGGTGCAGCTCCAAGTCAAAGACTCGGAAGGAAAGGGACACAGTCTGGCCCTCAGGCACCTGAAACAGGGAGCAGGGGAGAGGACTCACAAAGTCAGGCCACACATAAACCAGGCAGAGGGTATCTCCCTTTCCCCAAGCTTTTCATACAGAAAATGGGCCTGAACAAGAAGGGACTCCATTAGGGAGCAGAGCAGAGGGCCTGGGCTCTGCAGCAGCTTGTGGCTTGCCCAAGGGAAAAGCCCTGAGGGTTGTGGAGAGATTCCAGGGCCAGAAATGAAATTAGGAGTGAAGAGCAGGCCTTGCGTTAAGGTGTGAGGACACTTTGCTACATGTTACTGTGGGCACTGCTGCCATCAGTGAAGAGGGGAGGGGGCCTGGACTTCACTGGGAGCAGTGGTGCAGGGAGAAGGGGGCAGGCGCCCAGCGGACTCGGGTTCCCTTAGCAGTCAGGCCTTGGAGACTTCAACAAGGGCATAGCGATGAGAGGGGCCCTCTTACTGTTATTGTCCAGATGCATTCCTTATTGGGGGGGTAGAGGTTGGGGAAACCCTCACTTGCCACGTAACCAGACTCTCCGGTCACCTCCCCTCCACACAGGAACACAGGTCTGGAGAACAGAAGAGGGGTGGGCCATGAGTGGAGGAGATTATAGGGTAATGAGGGTGGGTCAGGGAGGGAAGCCAGGAGGATGCAGGAGAAAGGGGACCTGGGGCAGCTCCAGCCAGCCAGGCTGGGATTGAGAGGATCAGGGACATGTGGGGCCAGCAACTTGGCTGTCTCTCCAACACCCCCACCCCCCACCCCCACCCCAACAGGAATTCCCGGAATCCTCCACAGGCCTTTCCTTACTCTCCCCCCCTCGCCCTGCCTGGCAGACAGGGACAGGAGCCGCCTAACTACTTCCAGATGTGGACACAGCCACGAGGCCATGGGGGGGGAGGGGGCGGGGAGATGAGAAGCAGCAGCGATGGCCCTCATATTGAACCTGGAGACCAGGGTCCCCCAGCTCCCAACCTTTGCCCTGCTCCTCTTCCTGCTAACTACTTGAGTATCTGATTCCCAAGTCTCCCATTCACTTCCCCCATTTCCCCCATCATCTCTAATTCCCTCCTGGAATCTAGATGTCCAGCTACCAGGCAACTTGAAGGTCTTGGAGCTCTCAGCTTTCATGGGGGTCCAAGGGTCTGGGTAGATTGGGAGACTTAGAGGGCAAAGGGTGGAGGAATGGTGGCCAGTGGTGACCCGCAGGAGACAGGGGTCTTACAGCAGGGAGGGAGAACTTGGGGGCTAGGGATGGGTGGGGGCTGTGGGAGATCTGGGGGGTGGTGTGTTAGTGAAAGAATCTACAGGATCCACAGGAAAACCCCCAGGAATCAGGGCTTTTGAAGCCCACTCAAGCTATCTGGAAGGTGCCAAGAGACCTACCTGGTGTAGTTGGGGGTCTGGCCCTGGGTGAAAGGCAGCAGGGCCCAGGCAGTGAGGAGGAGCCCCAAGAGGGAGGCAGTGGCAGCAGGCAGCATGGCTGGGGGGAGAGGCGCTGGGGTCCTCGAGACTGAGGCAGCAGCTGAGTTTAGCGGCGGCGGCAGCAGCAGCAGCAGGGATAATCAGTGCCAGATGAGGCAGCCTCGGGTGTGTGGGCGTGGGGACTGGCCAGTGGGGCGGGCGGTGGGGAAGGCGGGACAGGGAGAATGTAGTCGGGACAGTGGTGAGTCCAGGGGCCTCTCTAGGTCCAGGACACATAAATATTGACCTAACTAGGGGGTGGAGCAACGAAGGGCAGAGGGAGCATCAACCCTCAGCTGTAATGCAGGCATCAAGTAATGTCATCTTGGAAGCCTGCTCTGTCCAGTCCCTGAGTATCCTGTGAACACAGCCTCTGGTCCTTTCTTATGATCCTCCCCATGCCTGACTCCTCAGCACCCAGAGAAGTCCTTCCCTTGACTACCAACATAAGTCACTCACCCCCTTCCTGACCACCCCCTGCTCCAGCTTATTTTCTGCCTCAAATTTCTACTGTCTTCTTTGCATCCCTGGGCCAGACTAGGCCAAGGAGAAAATTCCTTCTGCTCACCCATTTTCCCTCCTGAATGCTTGGAGGTATGGAAGCGGGTTAGATGTGACTAAAGGGAGCATCCCCCTTATTGAGGAGGAGGATGGAGTAGAAAGTGAGGGAAAGGAGTGTTTACCTGGAAGGTAAACAGAAGAAGGGGAGGAGGGTGCTGACTTCATAGCGGCCAAGGTCAGAAGCAAGTGGCCTCCTAAGGATGGGAGTAAGACTGACAGACAAAGGATCTGTAAGGGACCCAAATAGCATATGTTGACTGCTTTGTTCCAGAAGGTGGTATTTGGACTTCCAAGTCAAGAAGCCAGGACCACTCTTGGGAGTGGGAGGGGCAAGTGAGCTGAAAGACTTGGGTGGTCAATTTGGCAGCAGCTGAATGCTTGAGCCACTTCTGTTCTGCCTACCTCCCTGTCCATCCTCCTGCCCTCCATCGCCTCCTCCCCGCCCCCCCCCCCGACTGGGGGGCCTCGGGGCCCCCATCCCTTGCCCCATTTTCCTCCCAGGCCCCAGGGTTCCAAACCGGGCCTCACTTCAGCCTTTTATTCGATTTGTCCATCAAATATCTTGTCCATGATAGTCAGGTTAGGGGCCCCTCCTGGGCAGCCCCCTGAACATTTTACAAAACAGTTCCCTGCCCACGCTGGCAAGCCTAGCAAATTCCCATCCCTCCCCATGTGCACATAACAGTGTTTATTCCTACCACCCCATCTCTCCTTAGCTCCTGGCCCAGGGCCAGACTCTCCCTCCAAGGTTGAAACTAGAAGAGGGGCTCAGCTCTCAGGGGTCGGGGGGCCTGGGCCAACCCCTCCAGCAGCCCTCTGCAGCATGTCTAGGGCCTCCCAGAAGAAATCCTTCTGTGCAGCCATCAAGGGCATCCAGCCCACGATCTCCTTCATCTTTTCCATGCGATCCTGCAATGTGGGGCAACTGTGGATCTGGCTGAGGTACTCTTCACAGGCCCGGGCTGTCCCCCCAGGGTCCTGGGGTGCTCCAGCCCCCAAGCTGGGCTCGGGGGTCCCCACCACCCTGCTGGCTGGTAGGTCCCGGTAGGTGGGATGGTGTTCGATGTCGTGGCTGGACAGCATGTAGAGGCACTCTCTGGTAGAGCAGAGGGAACAGGCACACAGAGGGACCTTGGAGGAGAGAAGGGGTGTGGCTGAGAGGGGCTCCCAGGAAGCCCCAGCTGTTGTGTTCCTCCCTCTCAGAGCAGCTCTGATCCAGCAAGTAAGCGAGGGCTGGCTAAGCCCTAGGGTTGTGTGAGGTCAGAGAGGGCGAGTGGGGTCTGTGAAGGGAGAGAGCCAGGAGCCATGGTGTGTGGCAGGAAAAGGGAGGCGGGTGGTGCTGGGGGGGGGGGTGCAGTGGGACACGTGGGTCTGGGCAAGAGCCCCAGCTACAGTCCTGTGTGCCACCTGGCTCTATTGCCCCTGCCCTCCTTGGTTGCCTGCTGGTGTGTCCCGGGTCTGACCTTGACATGGAGCTTCACGAAAGAGGCACTCCCCTTAGGCCAGCCAGGGAGGCGGCCTCCAGCCCCACAGCCGCAGCCCAGAAGCTCTTTGCTGAAGTCTGAGCCCTGGCTCAGCACCAGGGAGTGATTGAGGCCACACCACAGGGCAATGGGACGTTGCAGATAATGTACCTGAGGACACAAGGCCAGGAGCCCTAAGGTGGGAATGTGGAGGATTTGGAGGCCCAGGTAGGAGGAAGGTGACAGGAAGGTTCAGGGAAGAATCTAGGGAAGTGAGGAGAGGGAAGCAAGGGGACACTTCCCCCCCCCCCCGCCCCCAGCCAGCCAGAGGGCAGACCAGCAGCAATCTTTCCCTCCCTGGTTCTCCTGCAGCCCCTGTCAGACCGCATGGGGTCTAGCACTTCTGTTGGTTCCTCATCTTTGCTCCTCTGAAAACAGGGCACTTGCCTGTGCCCAGGGCCTGCTACCTGCTTCTTCATTACTACCCCATGCCTGTGCCAGTCCAGTCTCATCCTGCCTTCCAGCTCCAGGAGGGGGACCATGCTTCCTCTTCCCAAAGTTAAAAACTATCCCCATCCCTGTGCAATTCCAGGTTAGCCCCCAGGAGGGACTTTTCTTCCACTTATTCCTCCCTTCTCTCTCTAGCATTTTCCACTTGCCCTATACTTGTCTCCCAAAATGGCCACTCCATTTTGAAAAAAACAAAACAAAACAAAAAAACACTTCCACCTGATTCCTGGCCCTTCCTAGCTTCATCTTTTAGGCAGCAGAACTGGTTATGTGACCAGTCTGAGGTTGACCACATTCTTGTTCTCACCACAGCCCGTCTTTCCCGAACTTTCCTGTGATCTGGCTTCTCTGCTTACTGTGCTACTGTCTTGTTCTCCCCAAATGCACTTGACTTTCCAGCTCCCAAATCCCAGGGCCTCTCCTGCATGCTTTCTCCTGAGATTATGAGGGCTTTAATTTTGAAGACAGTGGTTCATAATTTACGGTCATCACAGAAGTTATAAAATCTTGGCAAGCAAAGATTAATTTAAAAATCACTGGAAATCCTACCACTCACTATTAACATCTTGCTGGGGCTTCCTGGGAGGCTCAGTCAGATGTCCTAGTTTGACTTAGCTCATGATCCTCAGTTTGAGCCCCACATTGGGCACCCTGCAGTCAGCATGGAGCCCCCTCAGGTCCTTTCTCCCCCTTTCTCTCTGTTCCTCCCCTGCTCATGCACCTTCTCTCTGATAAAATAAACTTAAAAAAAATCTTGCTGGGTATTCTTTTTTTCTTTCTTCTTTTTATTTTTTATTTAAGTAGGCTCCTGTGGAGCCTGCTTGGGATTCTCCCCCTCTCTATCTGCCCTTCCTCCCCCTCTCCCCCCAAATAAATAAATTTTAAAAGTGAAAAAGAGAGAGTCAGCCACTTAACCATCTGAGTCACCCAGGCGTCCCTGGATATTCATTCTTCACTGCTGCCTCTGTGTGTGCGCGTGCATGTGTTCAAATTGTAGATTTTTAAACAAAAATGGGATTGTACTATGTAAATAATTTTATAATTTTTTTAATCTAAAAAGTCGGTAGGTATATTTCCTACATTATCTGTCACCATCGATCGCCCCCTCGTGTTTGACACTCCCTGTGCCCCTGGCTTCTGGGATTTGACACTTAAAGGAATGCCTCTTGCCACAGACAGCTTCTTCATTCCCTCTGCCTACAGACAGCATTGGCTCCTGCCCAGGTTTGCGCCTCTGTTCCTGCTTCTGTCTGTTTCAACCTTGTTCCAACGTGGAATCTAATGCCAGCGAGGCATTTCTGCTTTAGAAAATGTCCAAAATCGGGGCGCCTGGGTGGCTTAGTTGGTTAAGCATCGACTTCGGCTCAGGTCATGATCTCATGGTTCGTGGGATAGAGCCCCACCTCAGGCTCTGTGCTGACAACTAGCTCAGAGCCTGGAGATTGCTTCAGATTCTGTGTCTCCCTCTCTCTCTGACCCTCCCTTGCTCATGCTGTCGCTCTCTCTCAGAAGTAAATAAAAAACATTAAAAAAAAGAAAATGTCCAAATTCATGTTCTTCCTCTTTCCTTAAGCCAGCGTCCCTTTCCACATTTGTTAGTGATGCCATCTCTCTTCAAGGGGTCTACTGCCATAGCCACCTGTGTCCCACAGCCCTCTCCTCATGTTTAATCAGTTTCCAAAACCTATTTGTTTTCTTTCAAAACATCTCAGTTATCCATTCCTTTCCATTCTCACTGCTCCAGGCTCTTGTCCCAAGTGCCGCGCTGTCACTCAATGGTCTCCCAGGGGGCTTCTCATTCAGTGGCCTCCTGTGCACTCTGGCCAGGTGACCTGTTCTCAGTCATCTGTGGGGGGTGCCTTCACCTACTCCAGAACCTACAATAACTCTTTCCCAAGTCTATACCTTTCCAGGCTCACATCCGCCTGTTCCACCTCAGATCTTCTGATTTCCAAAACACCCTCTCTGCTTTAGACCAGTCTTTTCATCATCCCAGGTATGTGCAAGCTTCGTTCTCATCCCCATTACAGGGAATACCTTCCCCTGTACCCACACGAATGTGATCTAACCCACCAGACCATGATCACATCTCACCTCTTCTAGTTATACCAGCCCACCCAAGTCTCCCTGCTTCACTAAATTCCTAGTGCACTACAGCAAGCACTGCACAGAACAGGCCTCACAGCAGCAACCCTGGGAAAGACATGCAACAGTATCAGGGGCCTTACGTACTGGTTGGCTTAACTTCTCTAGGGAGTAAGAAGTGGGTTCTAAAGAAAGTAGAGAAGTTGAGAGGTGCAAGTGTTAGGGAATTGGAGGAAGGGTGTCAGGATGAGAATAACTGAGCACAGTCTCACCTGTGTGGGTTCCCCTCGGTCCATTTTGTCCCCAGTTCCCAGCTGCCCATATCTGTTATTTCCCTGCATAAAGATTCGGCCAAATTCATCCACCAGGCCAAGGTGATTGTAGCCAAGAGCACAAAATAGGATCTAGGAAGTAAGACAGAAAGAGAAGGTAGGCATTCAGTTCCCTCCAGAGGAACTCTGAGCTCCAGAATCTCCCAGCCATCAACCTGCCAGTCCCAGCTGATTTC